GAAGCCGAGCGAAGTCTTCTGTTTGACAAAATGCCTGAAGTTATAACCATTCATTTGAAGTGCTTTGCTGCTAGTGGCTTGGAGTGAGTATTGTAAATAAAAGTTATGTGAAGAGTAAGCTGCTACAAAAGCAAAATTTTGTTAAAATACTGTAACAGCAGAAGTATAACAGTATTGATCAAAAGGAAGTTGTATAGATGCCTTAGAAAAAATTTTGTTCTTACTAAAATGCATCAGTTTAAATCCTTTTGGTGTGAACACGTTAAAATTTGATTTCTTTATACATCTTGAATATTCATTTTGTAGATGTTAATAGCAGAATTCAATTTCAGTAGAACTGATTAAAGTAGGGAAGAAATTTTGAATATACTGACTTTTATTGAAGGGTAGAAAGGCAAAATCATTTTTTAGTTTTTAAGGTAAGATTGGAAATCAAATGTCTTTGAAAACTAGTTTTTTTCTCATTGTTGAATGTGTCTAAGCACTATTAAAAATATAAAAACGCTAATTACATTTTGGATATCTGACTTCTTCTGACACGTACATATCATTGTGAATTTCACTTCTACCATGCTGACTTGTTTGAAATTAGGAGCTTTGCCAGTAGCTTTCACCTTGTTATGCCACAAGATGAGATACAGTCTTTTCTGCATTCAGTGGACTTTTTCTTTGCTAAATATATTTTATTTAGTTTTGTTGACAAATCTTTTAAAGACATTACATTAAAACTGACTAAAATGTGAAGGATTTTGGTTTCAAAAGTTCATTTGGGAAATAAGTGAGAAAAAGATTGTATAGCTCATATAGAAACTGAATTTTAGCATCTGTGTATGTATTATATTCAAAATTGGGGTGTTTTTATATGAATGCTATTAAGGGTTTATTCAGACTTTTACTTGGTTCACATGAGTATAGAATTTTGACCTTAGAATGGAATTCCAGGAAATCTTTCTTTTTCCTTTCTTCCGTAAGGTTTGATTGTTACGGCGGTGGACTTTCCAAGATCAACACTCCCTTACTGACACCTCTGAAACTGTCATTAGAAGAATGGAGCACAAAGCCAACAAATGACAGCTATGGATTATTTGCAGTTGTAATGCACAGTGGCATTACAATTAGCAGTGGGCATTACACTGCTTCTGTTAAAGTCACCGACCTCAACAGTTTAGAACTAGATAAGGAGAATTTTGTGGTTGACCAGATGTGTGAAGTAGGTAGGCCAGAGCCACTGAAAGAGGAGGAAGCAAGAGGTGCAGTTGAAAATTATGATGACGAAGAAGTGTCGATGAGAATTGGTGGAAATACACAGCTAAGTAAAGTTTTGAACAAAAAAAATGTAGAGGCTATTGGACTTCTTGGAGGACAAAAGAGCAAAGCAGATTATGAGCTCTACAACAAAGTGTCTAATCCTGATAAGCCTGCCAGTACAGCATTTGCTGAAAGTAGAAGTTCTGAGATGAACAGTACTAATGGGACCCATGAAGTGGATAGGAACAAGGAATCCAGGGACCAAACAGGCATTTACATGAGTGGATTTGAGAACAAAATTTCCTGTGTAGTGCAAAGTTTAAAGGAGTATGAGGGGAAGTGGTTGCTTTTTGATGATTCTGAAGTGAAAGTTACTGAAGAGAAGGACTTTTTAAATTCTCTTTCCCCTTCTACGTCTCCTACATCTACTCCTTACCTGTTATTTTATAAGAAATTATAGAGTGGGTGTATTGTCCCTGTGTATATATTAAACAGGCCTGGCCAACATTGGTAAAGTTGATTACAGCACACAGTCTTTTAGCTTATCTTTCAAAGCTACTGGATATTATGGGTCTCTGTAGGTTTTTATATAATAGTGAGATTTGAAATACTGAAAAACCATGTTAATTTTTAGAATCCATTTTCCTTCATAGAGACAAGTGATGTGTTAGCTCCTGGGAACAAACTTGTATAGGTTAATTGAATTATCCAAAATGGAAGCATTTAAACCTTTTGGATTTACACCAATCTTTTGTGTCTGCTTTTTAAAATAAAGTGCTTGTATTTGTATTCTCCATATTTTGGAGAAGTTATCTACATGATGTTTATAGGTCTGTGCTTTTTCACCTAAGAAAGAGAATCTCATTCAATAGGTTTAGTTTCATCCTAGTTATGAATCCTCATCTCTGATGGGCTGTGTCAGAGGCACCAAACCTAGAATGCAAGTGTTCACGTTGGGGTGTGCGATTCGTGCCTTGAATCACTTTGGAAAGTCCCAGAAAAACCAGATGGTACCTTTTTATCTTCCAAGAATTTTATATATATTTATGAGGATGATTCTGTATTCTAGTACATCTTTTTGGGCATGGACTAATTTGTATTTCTTCATACTCGTATTCTGCACGATGTGTATATAATACATCAAACTTTGGAGGTATGACCTTAAGTTTAACTTTTTTAAAAACTGGGAGGTCAATAAAACTTAAATTGCTTAACTATGTATTCAAGTGCTCAAATATTTTTACTTGTGTTTTTATCGTAAGTACAGCTGAATGAGGGCAGTAGGGAAGAGAATAAACATGAATAATTACCTTACACTCTTTCTGACAGCGGAGATGAAGAATTTCTCAAAGAGGTGACATTGTGGTTAGTTTATCCAAGTTGTCATACTTAGTTCTATAATAAAATTTTCACATCCTAGTTTTCCTTTAAAGTAGACTTAATGGAATTCAAAACAAGAATTTAAAACAGTGCTTTGGGCACACAAAAAACTATGCTTTAATTATACTAAGTCAGTAAGTGGCCAGTTATGCCTTAACATTCTTGGTACTAAGATTTTCTTAATGACTAAATATTTTAAGTGCTAACATAACCCATTTCAACAATGAGACTACCTGGTCAACTAGAAAGTGACACCAGAAGGTTGATTCTGTCCCCTTTGCACAGTCAGAATCACGGAGCTTTAAAAATAGCCCTTGTGCACTATCTCTAAGATAATGATTGAACAAGTCTAGGATATAGCTTGGGCCTCTGCTAACTCAGAGCCAATTTTTATTTGTTTGCTTCTAGTTGTTTTTGGTCTTTTTGAGGCAGGGTCTTGCTCTGTAGCCCAGGTTGTCCTCAGACTCATGATTCTTCTGCCTCAGCCTCTTCAGTGCCCAGATGACAGGTCTGTACCACCATGCCCAACAAAAGACAATGTTAATTAAAAACTAATACAGATTCCTGAAAACAGGTATGTAAATGATACACTCCATGTCATATACCAAAGTTTTTAAAGACAAGGAGAAACCTCTGTTCTGACTCAGAAAACATTTAGTACTTCATAATAACTAAACCATAATTAAATCGTAAACTCTATTGTCACTGAAATCTGTGTATAATGTCCCAGTTAACTAAAGTAACCCACTGAGAAGGGGCACAGGGTTTAGGGGTTACTTTATCCTTCCTCTCCCTTGCTAGGTGTCACCCGTGGGTGTGAGTCTCCATTTTGAACTCCTTGCCTTTTCTTACTCACCTGGCTCCTGGTATTTGTGGTGGGTGCTGTGTGCAGGCCCTGCCTTGGCATACTGGGCAAACATGCTCTCAGAGCTGTGTACCCAGCCCCAAGCCCACTTCTGAGGTTACCCTTCTGACACTTAACTCCTTTTGGTCCAGTGACGTAGGATCCTTTGAAAAGCCTTTTGGTGACTCATGTTTCAGTTAATGTAGGTAAGAGGGATTTGAGATGGTAATTACCTGTTCATGTGAGCTCAGCAGGGAAATTGGCCAGCACCAAGGTTAGACTTTTGGACAACCACAGACGATGGCAAGTTATTACACATGGTCAGTCCTTAAGCGATGTGTGTAACTGATCAGTAGTAAAAGGGTGTCAGCAGTACTACTGTGTAAGCTACAGTGCTGCACAAAAAACACTGTTCTGGACACTTGCAGAAACTGGGAAGATGAAGGCCAGGCGTGGTGGTGCATGCCTGTAATCCCAGCACTTGGGAGGCTGAGACAGGAGGCTCTTTGAAAGTTCAAGGCCTGCCTGAACTGCATAGTGAGACTCTCTCAAAAAGACAAAAATCAAACAAACAATCCCCACGAAATTTGGAATATGCAGAGTTTGGGAAAAACTTGACAAGCAATTATATCTTAAAGATTTTTTCTGTATTCCCTTTTCATATGAAGTTCCAATTTTAAATAAATTAGTTGAATTTGAGTAACAGCTATTTTGCTTTTTACATGTGCTATGTGGCTTCTCATTTAATTTGTAGATTAGCAAGTATAAACTCTAGCTCTGTCTTATTTTTATGGTGATACAGTTTTAAAGCAGATTTTTAATTTTGGTTGAGATAATTAAAGAGTGATGACTGATGCAAGGTATGGTAGCGAACACTTGTAATCCCAGGAGATTGAGGAAGGAGAATTATTATCATTTTGGGGGGGTCTTTTTTGAGACAAGGTCTTGCTATGCAGTTCAGGCTGGCCTTGAGCTCACTTTGTAGCCCAGGCTGGCCTCGAACTTGCTACGATCCTCCTACCTCAGCCTCCCGAGTACTGGGATTACAGGCGTGAGCCACCACGTCCGGCTAGGAAGAATTCTTAAGTTTGAGGCCAGCCTGGGGAAATTAGGCCAGTACCACCAAAAACAAAAAACCTCGTGACTGGCTGTTTAACTTGAAACTCCTAACAAAGATAGTGCCATAAAGATCAAGCTTGCTATCAGTACTTAGTCATACACACAGAAAAGTTTTTGGGGGCTATCTATTTTGGTGATACTGGGGGTGGAACCCAGGGGCACACTACCCCTGACCAGCCTTGTTTGATTTCAGTACAGCACCTGGCTAACTTGCTCAGGCTGGCCTTGAACTTAAGCTCAGGCTGGCCTTGAACTTGAACTTGAAACCCTCTTTCCTTAGCTTCCCAACAGCTGGGACGTTAGGCCTGAAGCGCTGTGCTCAGCTCTCAGGGAACTAGTTCTGAAACAACTCAACTTACTCTCTGCCTCTTTCAATAAAGAAAAAATGTAAAAGTCCCACTCACTGAAGTTAGTGTAAACATTCACATGTTTAATAGTACCTTTAAAATAAGCAATACTACATTTAAAATGGTTCCAAAATGAATCTATAAATGGTAATATAAATTAAAAAATATGAACTTAAAGTAAATTTAACATTAGCTATGGTATAAATAATGGTTAATGTATAGTGTACCTTTGAGTCATTAAAATGTCTTAAAAAAAGATAACAGTATGTTCCAGAATGTTAGAAACCACTGCCATGATTCTCAGATTAACACTACATTTGACACTGTTTTGGCGTTCTTCAGTAAGTGAATCAGTGCTGTAACTTCCAGAATTACATCAAGGTCTTTTTTTCAATAGATCTTAACTTTTCACATTCAGTGTTGAATACATGGCTCTTTTCAAATGAATAAAACAAGTGCATTTATTTTAGAGGTCCATTTTGCGAAGGCTTATTCGACTGAAGGAATCTCTGGAGAAAAAGAAGATAAAGTTAGAAGAAAACAAGTGTACCACACTTTGGAAAACAACCCCAAACTTTTGTGTATACCTCTAAGATGTTTTACATGTTTTTTCTTCTAGAGTTATCTCAAAAGTTATGCCATGAGTTTCTATTATTTTTGAAGTTAGGTACTCATTCTACATATTCTACTTTATATATCCTGGTTTACAGATTATAGATTGGAAGTATAGTAACCACTGTACCAAGTCTACTGATTGTTTATTCATTTGTCTAATAGTTGCTATAGATACCATAAGTAAGACAAGTACTACAGGCTAATAGAAATTTTAGGGGAAAATCTGGGGTTATTAAATGGCAAAAGACAGGTGTTTCTTTAGAACACTGAATTTTGAGTCTTAAACCAGTGGTTCCAACACTTTGTCTCAGATTCTTTTTACATTCTTAGAAATTATTGAAGAATCTAGAGAACATGCTTATGGAAATATATGTATTGACATTTCCCATATTAAAAATTAAATGAAGAAACTTAATTGTACCAAGCAACTAATTACATGTTACTATGAATAGCACTGTATTAATGAGTTGAGAGCAATCTTGGAAAAGCGGCCCTCGCGCACACTGTCTAGAGGAACGGACTCCTCGTTCTCCTCTCTGCCTGCCTCTGCACTCAGTCTCTTGATAGCACATCTCATGCTGTCCTCTGGAGCACGCTGCAGTGCTCTCATGAGAGAATCGAAGTGGAAAAAGGCAATCATAATTGCTTTTAATATGAAATAGGTTTTGAAACTCCTGGAAGGGTTTTAGGGACTTTTCTCCATGGGCCCCAGAGCATACACTCAAAACCTGGGTCTCCAGATTTTGTAATTCTAAAATTTTCATTTTCTAAATTCTTAAGACGTCAAGAGGGATGACATTCTTGAAATACCTTTTAATGTACTGTCCTTTGCCCTTGGTTGGTTTCTTTTGCTTATCGCTCCTGCCATTAAGGCTAAGCCGTGAGCCTTCGTATTCCCAGGACAGGAAAGGGAGGTACAAGGAGCTCACACTCAGCTTTGCATCACAAATTTTTTTTTGGTTCCAGTGAAAACAGCAATTTTTACATTTTTGAAAACAGCAACCTTGAAAGCTACATACTGTTCAACAGGAAAAGCGTTTTTCTAAATTCCAAAAGCCTACCTGGAAATACTAACTGAAGCTTAAACTGGGCATGGGGGTGCAGGCCTGTAATTCCAGACTCAAGGGGCAGAGGCAGGGTTGGCAAGTTCAAGGCCAGCAAGTTGCTGACTAAGCAAGACCCTACCTCACAAAAGGACTGGTGATGTAGCTCAGGGTGAAGGCCCTGGGTTCAGTCCCCAGTACCACTAAATAAAAACGAACGAAGGGCTGGGATGGAGCTCAATGTAAAGTGCTTGTCTAGTGGGCTTCAGGCCCTGGGCTCAACTCCCCAAAACAACCGAAGCTCAGGTAATTGGCCACGGAGTGATCCCAGACAGAAGCAAAGCTGAGGTTCTGTGCAAGGGTGTCCTTCGGACTGGGAAGACATGGTCTTCTGCCGAGTCAGAGCAGAAGGCAGAGACTAGGCCTGGGCAACCTGAAGTGGGCTGCAGGAGTGGAGGGGACGAGGGTGTGCCTTCCCCTGCGGGCTCTATGAGGACTTCTTGTGCAGGCCTCAGGCAGTATGGGTGGTAAAAGCCAGCTGCAGGCTCATTAACAGTCCTGGGCTGCCTCTGCCTTGCAGACCAGGGAAGAGAAAAAAAAAAGGCAAATCATACTTGCTTTTAATATGAAATAGGTTTTGCAGGTGACCGCACTCCTCCCTGCAGCAGTAGCACAGACACTTTTGAATGGATGGGAGTAAATCTTTCCACAGACCTCAAAGTGGAAAAATATCAGACTGCTGAAGGGCAGGGACTAACTGCCAGGTGATTAAACAGCCAGTTTAACTCTCTTTTGCAGTGCAGAATACCCTGTATCTACACTGTTTTTACATAAGTAGCTTCAACGGTCTTGCAAATGTTAATTTACCAGACTGTTACACTTTATAGTGGTACTCCTTTCCAGTTATTCCCAAGAGAAGGGGGTTAAAGACAGCAGTGCCACAACAGTGTAACAGCTGTATATACATTTGACTTCAAGACCTAGAAAAGGTAGTTTATTTTTAGCAGTTTTTTGTGTCCTTTCCAGAAGTCAGATACTAAAAAGCCGCACTGCCTTAGGACTCTGCGTCTGTAACCCACTGATTCTAACAATCACATGCTCAAGTAGAACTAGGATTCAGCTGTAGAAAAGTCCCAGTTATTTTCTTTTCTATTCTGCCAACACTTAAGAAATGCTCTGTGTACTACTTACAGTCACAGCTAAGGAAATGAGACACGCTAGTGAATTTTCCCGCAGAAGTACCAGAAAGTGTGATTTTATTTTTTCTGATACACGATCTTACTATGCAGCCCAGGCAGGCCTTAAACTCACAATTTGCCCGCCTCAGCCTCCTGAATGGTAGAATCAGATGTACCACCACAGCTGCCTATGATAGGACTTTAAAAGGAATAGTTTTAGGCCAGACTTAAAGTGCTGCTCCAGCTCGGTGTATGTTTAATGCGATGTTATGATTCTCCAGTGTGGGAAGAACTGACTTTTATCTCATAGCATGATTAATGTACAGTGGGCAAAAGGCTTATACAGTTTTACTGTTTGGTTCCAGGAGATACAACACCTGAAGCCATATAATAAAAGTTACCCTATTTCACTATGAAAACAATCAGCTTTTACTTTTTCAAAGAGCTCAACAATAAGAGAAAAAATAGGCACACCTGTGGCAGGTGACAGGCAATACTGCCTTGTACAGCTGAGGGATCTTCCTGTTGATCAGCGGCTGCAGAGCCTCCTTAAGGCGATGGTAGTTCCTCTCTAGCTCCCTCTGATACTCCTTCTGGTCAGGCCCGATTAAGCTCTTATTCTTCCGTAAGGCATCCTCACACCTGGGGGCAAGACACACGGTACCAGCAGACTTCTTTGGGCAGAGCTGGCCAGCTTGGTGCCAAACAGACTCACAAACACACGTGAACACGTGTGTGCATGCACACACACACCGAGACAGGCTTTTGGCTGAAGGTTAAATATGCCTTCTTAGCTTTAAGGCAGAGAATGAACAGATGACCAAGTTCTTTCAAAATCTAATAAACACTTTTATCTAAATCGAAAATTATGCAGTTTAATCATCCATTCTGAAGCTACTTTTTGGTATCACTAACCAGCCTGGAACTCATTATGGGATACATGCACATTCACTGGTGTGACATCTATTGTAGCTTGGTGCAAACATGTTTTGTTTTCCCAAGTGAACAGATCTGGATGCAAATCCTTTATCCAACTTATTTAAGAAAAATATCTGGATCCCAACAGATGAAGGAAAAAAAGATTGTTTAAAAAAATAGCACATGTTCATACTGGTGGGGTGCAGCCAACGTGACGCTTAGGAATAGTCCTAACGCTTATAGTCAAAAGGAAGGCTGAAACCGAGGAGTAAGCACAGGCTAAGCTCCAAGTGCAGGGAGGGTAAGATTTAAAGTTAGGGTGCACTATCCAGAACCGCGAGAGCCGCACTTGGAATGCGCTCCTCTAACTCCAGTTACTCGAGACTGAGGCAAAAGGACTGCTCGAGTCCCAAGGTTCAGAGCTAGACTGCGTAACAAGAGCAAGACCTCATCTCTTAAAAGATATATAAAAAGTGGAAAAACTGGTTATTTGATAAAAACTAAGAACATGCTAATTGTTAGCAAAATTAAATCAGAGGTCAAATATACCCTAGTAGCTATTTAAAATGTGAAATACAGAAGAAGTTTAAAAAGTTGTAGGGGATATTATATGCAACTTAATGTAAAAGAAATGAAATCATATTCTTCTAGATAAATATAGCAAAACAGTAAGAAAAAAATGTGAGTAATCATAAATCCATCACATAAATTGACTCAGTTACGTCCCAAATCTATCCACAAACATTAGCATACAAATTCTAGCAAGCAGTCTAGAGACAACAATTTAACGATTATTTCAGAGTGTAACAGAAACTAATCCAGAGAAAGGTTCTCAACTCATTTTTCAAGGCTGAGATACAAAACCCTAAAGAGACTATAAGAAAAAACCCTGAAAAACAAAGGCAGGAGGATAGCAAGTTTGAGCTCAGCTTGGGCAACTTTGCGAGACTATCCAAAAAGGCGGCGGCGCGGTGGGGGCGGGGGCTGGGGCTGCAGCTCGGTGCGAAGGCCCAGGCTCAGTCCCCAGTTCCACCAATAAATAAAAATAGGTAAATTCTACTTGACCCACGGAAATGATTTCAAAGCTCCCAAACTAAGAGGAAACTGCTCTACCGCAGTAGTGGTAACTAAGGAGATGTCCACTTAGTGCCCAGTTGTACATCATCATACACCTACAGATCGGTAAAAGCTAAAATGCTAGATGATAGCAAGTACAGATGAAGATCTGCAGTGACGGTAACAGAAACTCAAACCCTGCTGATAAACCTGGCTTACGTACTTTGGGGAAAACGTGGCATCAGCTGGCAGGGCTACTGTCAGGTATAAACCTGGGACATCTCTTGTGCATAAACATCCAAAAATAGCTGGTCCTCTGAGTAGCCTTCCCTGTAACTCTCTGTAACTAGAAGAACGCAAAGCTACGCTGTTACTTTGGGATACTTTTATTTCTGATAAAATTATAGAAGACGACAAAACAAATAACGAGAAGTTAGAGACGCCAGTCCCCTCTGAAGAAAGGGAGGTGACACTATTGAGCGGGCCTACCGGAGGGTGCTCAAGGGAGGCAGCACTCCGTGTCTTGGCCTGAGTGAGGGAGTAAGACTTCCCCTTCCTACCCTTTAACAGCAAATGTTAGAGATATTACTTTTCAGTCTAATCCAGATTTAATGAAAACAAGTTTTTAAAGACAAAACCAAAACAAGCAAACACATGGAAAAGTACCGTTTTTAGTAGTAAAAGCAAACTGAACTATCCCATAAAATTTACAACAGACATTCTACTTGCATAAAAGGAATGAGAGCCAGTACTGAGACTAGAATACCTGTGTTCCTAACTTTTGCTAATCCGGGGAGATTTTCCAGGATATGCTCACACCATAAAGACGTCTCTGTACTTTGGCTTGGTAATTTTGTAATGGAAATTTTAATTCAGCAAAAGAAGAAAGATCAACACCACACTCAAATTTGACTTCAGTTTAAAAAATAGGAGAACAGAAGATTAAAGTTGAAAAAATATAGCCATTACAATAACAGTTTTACCGTTAATTGAACAATAAGAATTTAAGCTCATATGTATGTTACTGGCATAAAAATAAATGGGTAAGGACTAAGGATATAGCTCAGCAGCACAGTGCCTGCCTGGCAAGCACAAGGTCCTGAGTTCAATTCCTGGTACCCAACCAAAAAAAAGTTAAACATGAAAACAATGTAGTATTGGCTACAAATTTCTTTGAAAGGTTTACATTATATAGTTTCTTGGGGAGTCAACTTTACTTTCTGCTTTTTATGGAATGTGGAAGGACAATTTTTTGTACCAACAATAATCCTGAAGGGGACACGATACTAACGTAAATATACACAAAAAAGACATCTCTAGAATTGCAGTTACGATAGAATGTTCCAAAGCATACCAAGATCAAAGGGTGTCTGATGATCACTACACATCTGTGACCTAATGATTTCTGTATGTGCCACGATCACCTGGCTCACAAAGACAGCAGATTTACACTTTGTTGTTTTAAACCTCCCAAATAATAAAAGTTAATGTTGGAGATCAGTCAACTGTACACGTGGGTAACAAGTTTCTTTCACTACCATAAGTCATGTAACAGGAGCTATGTTTTTTTTTCCATGTAACAGGAGCTATGTTTCCTGTTATTTTCTAAAACCAGCTTCTGTATAGTAAAGCAAACAATCAACGAAGTGAAGAGACAACTGACTGCATGAGAGAAAATATGAGCAAACTATGCATCTGACATGGAATTAACATCGAGAGTGGGTAAAAAGCTAAAGAAGTTCAATACCCAAAAACCCCCAATTTAAAAATGGACAACAGACCTAAACAGGTATGTATCTGGAAAGAAAACATACAAATGGCCAGTGAAGAAATGCCGAACATCACTTTCATCAGAGAAACGCAAATCAAGACCAAGTGAATTATCACCTCATTCCAGTACGAATGGGTATTCTCCAAAAGACAAAACATACCAAGTGCTGGCGATACTGTGGAAGATAAGCTAGGACAGCCATGATGGAGAGAGCCACAGGACTTAGCAGCCCCACTCTGGGGGGCACACGCAGGGAAAGGAAGCCAGTCTGTGGGAGACAGCTGTGCTGCCACCTTCACCTCAGCACTTTCACTGTTAACGGCCAAGGACAGACCATGGCGAGGATGAGCACAATGTGGCACAGGGTCCTGTCACTGTGACAGGACAGGTGGAACTAGAGCACAGGCACAGAACGGCACACGCCACAGGATCGTGCTTGTATGCGCGATCTCGCAGACAGAAAGGTGGCTCCAGGGGGCTGCCTGCACAGGGCGAGAGTGTCATCAGGGTGACGACAATAATGGACTGTGTACCAATACTCCTGTTTAATGACCAAGTGACGGCCCTGTAACTAGGCTGCTACACAAACTGGTTGCTAAATGAGGAACTGTGTGTAGTATGTATGTTACAATATTCACAACAAAGAAGTGGTCGAAGGAAACTCCCACTTGACGACTTTGCTTTTATTTGCATAGCTCTTCCATGCAGGACTGTAATGTGTAACAGCACATAAAGCTCAGTACTGTACTGTACAGTACAATCAGCAAAAATTACAGTACTGTGTGCATAAGGTGTATTGTACAAATAGACACTTAGAGATGTGCAGATCTATCCAAAAAAGAAATGTAAGTCCAAACAGTCGTTAAACAAGGAGGTTGTTAAGGGGCTGGGGATTTAGTTCGGCGGCAAAAGCGCCTGCCTGGCAAGCGCAAGGTCGTGAGTTCGGTTCCTGGTACTGGAGAAAAACCAAAACCAAAACCAAAAAAAAAAAAAAAAAGAAAAAAGGAGGTTGTTAAATGAGGACTATCTGTATTTCAAAAAGCTGCAAGAAAGGATTTTCAATGTTTTCACCATAAGGAAACGAGTGTTTGAGAGGACATTTGAACATTAACCATACATACATAATGTACACATACATATACAATGTATACATGTATTAAAACAATACATGGCACCCCAGAAATATGCACCATTTTTATGTTTTTACGTCTTAGTTAAAAAATAAATTTAAGTACAAAAAATATATTATAAAATCTCAGACACCTGAAAAAGCTTTGAAAGGTTTTTCTTTTAGATGTTTACCACGTTGGAGTAGTAGCAGAATCTGACAGCAATTTGTGATGCATAACGCAGTAAAAACAAAGGAGATACCATTTCAAACTACTTAAACAAGTTAGCATTACCCATATTTTTCAGATAATGAAACTGAAGCAAAATTATAATGAAATAATAATTTCAGATAATGAAACTGCCTTCAACGCCTTGGCAACGCCTTGCCTGGCAAGCGCAAGGTTGTGAGTTTGATTTCCGGTACCGGAAGAAAACAACAAAAAAACCCCAAACAAACAAACGAAAAAAAGAAATTATCTCTGCCTTGCTGGGCATAGTGGCCCATGCCTGTAATCCCAGCACTCGGGAAGCTGAGGCAGCAGGATCGTTTCCAGTTTGAGATCAGCCTGGGCTACAAAATGAGCTCAAGCACAGCCTGAACTACATAGCAAGACCCTGTCTCAAAAAGACAGGAAAAAAAAAAAGGAAATTATCTCCGCCATTAATAAACTCATTCAATAGAACGATTCGATAAGAGAACTCTGTACTTCCTGATCTGGGAAGAGAAACCGTAAGAGGAAGTCAAGCTGGGTTCTGAGCGCAGTTCTCCCAGTACCGATGATGTGACGAGCAGTCCCTGCACAACAGTGCACAGGCTCTTCTGCTCGGTCTCACCACCCTCTCCTTTCCCAGGCTTTGTCCTCTCACAGAATCCACGGTTTCTGCCTCCACAGACTACTTACCTGTCTTAGATCCTGAACTTGGCTCACATTTTTTTTTCCTATTTGCTATAATTCTTTTCTGTGTGAAAAGCCAGTATTCCTCCCCTCAGGTCCTTATCAAATTGTGAAATCTTGCCAAGCTGAATTAATCATTTCCTTTTATATGATCACACTGTTAGTCAAACAGGAATGAAGCATCTAGTCGATGAATACTTTTTTCCTACTTATAAAATTTTTTTAAAAATTTATTTATTTTGCAGCGCTGGGGATTGAACACTTGGCCTTTGTGTTAAGCTACACCCTCAGCAACTTTTTCTTTTGAGAAAGAATCTCTAAGTTGCTCCAGCTCAGCTTCAACTTGTGCTTCTCTTGCCTCAGCCTCCTAGATTGCTGGGATTACAGGTATGCACCACCATGCTCAGCTCAAAATTTTATGTTTAACAAACACATATTTATTATATGCCAAGTGTTTTCTTTGTGCAGAAGGAGTATCTGACAAGTTGGCCCTTGGTTGGTCTCTAGCAATCTGGATTCAGGAGGGAGAGGGAATCACTGCACCTTCAGTGTCTATGTGAATACTGGTTTCCGGTGGCCACTGCCTTCCCCTGCCGTCTAGGGTTCTGGCACGCAGTTGGGGACAGGGTGCCCACTGGTCGACAGTGGGGCACACATACTGTCAGCACTCACCGCAGTGCAACTGCATGGACGGAGGCCCTCTCCAGTCTGCGCCTGGTTTTCTCCGGACTCCACTGTGCCTGATTCTGCCCCTGGAATCTTTTCAGCGCAGTCAGTCACAGTCTCCAGCATGATGTGCTGAGTGCTCAAACCAGGGCGAGGCTGGGACCCCCACATGCCTCAGGATTTCACCTAGTTTGCACACCCTTCCTAAGAGAGGTGTCACTGTCTTTAGGGGGGGAATCTGTGGGTCACAGGGATTAAGTGACCTGGAAAAGGATACACATGGATACGGTCAGGGTCTGAACACAGTGCTTTGCTTCCCAGTTATAAATTTAAGTTCTCTGAGGAAAAGGAAGCAGAAAAACCATATACTAAAGATTCCTAAAAAACAGCATCTTTCAAGTTAAGTAATCTAGCAACGGTTTCAAGTTAAAAGCATTTCCTGAGCCTTGGCTTCTCCAATCTTTAAAATAAAAGCAGCTGGATGTGGTGGCACATGCCTGTAATCCCAGGGCTCTGGGGGCCAAGCCAAGAGGTTCATACATTTGCGCTCAGGTTGGGCAGTTTAGCAACTCAGTGAAAGCCTATCTCAAAATAAAAATAAACAAGGGCTAGGGATGTAGCTCAATCTGACAGTCCTAGGTTCAATCCCTACTATTGCAAAAATAAATAAATGAGTAAATATGGCATTAGAGTATGGGAGTGGGTACACAATTGAACAGTGAATTCTACACAGTGTATCTCTCATTCAGAACTCCTTCCCCTCGTGTATGTTCTCTCAACAGTCCCCCAGGCCTCACGTCACACTGTGGCACTGGACACTGCCAGCTTGCAGAGCCTTATGTGAGAAGCCTTGCATACCTTTTAGTGAAATCTTTAAAGCAGAGTCGTAGTTTATTATGATGTCTGAAAAGCTTGGGGTCACTGGGTATTTCAGATAGGAAAACCTGGGCAACTTCCAAAGGCCCCTACAAAATAAGAAAATAAAATTGCAAGTGTGTTTTTGTCTTCCCTAAGATCAGGCAGACAGAATAATCCACGTGACTTCAGCACTGTGATGGCTGCACTAACCGTAATGCACATTTATTCAAAAAAGCAAAGCAGGCATTCAAAGACTCACGACTGCATTAACACATGTAGTCCTGGATTTTATGTGAGTTAGCCCGGATGAGCAAGCTGTCAAGATACCACATCTTCTAACCCATAGACCATTTGGCACAATTTTGCTGAAACAGCTTCCCTTGGCATCCTAACGGTGTTCCTGACACTGTAAGCTCGAGGACATAACAGACACGGCTTCCAATGTATACACAGCAAAACAATATCATCTCATATATATAGTTACTATTTTCAAAACTACTCCATATCACTTATTTAATCCACTGAGCTTCTGAAAACGATCTGGAGATGACATAGGTGAGAATCTAATGTGGTAGAAGTTTATGTGTTCATACACAGCTCTGAAAATAAATCCTCTTTAAATCACAATCTTTTATTACAACATTTTACAGACAGGTTACTGTAAGTGATTTAATTCCTTTTCAATACCATATATAAAAATAGGAAAATACAGTAGAGAAGGCAGGTTTGAAAATCTTAACAATTGAGATTATCGCTGAACCACTTCTGCTTTTCCCTTTGCCTCATTTATACTTCAGTGATTTTTTTTTATAGCTCCTTCCAATACACATTGTGTTCACTGGATTTAGTACATATTCGCAATTCTGTAGGACACACTACTGAAGTCACCACAAGTCCTATTTATACCTTAAACCACGCAGTGCCAGCAGAGGGTACTAACCTGATTCACTGTCGTGCCCACAGACCCCTGGAGAACCATCTGAAGCATTTTGGGGTCTGCTGGGTCCTGATGTGTCGCAAAGGCCAGCTCCTGGGTCTTCTTCTGCATGTCTTCTATGGCAACTTCAACAGGCGTTAGGATGATCTGAGTAGAACACAACTCTAGATCAGTGTGCTGCCTGAACACGACTGCATGAGGGAGCTTTACATAACCCATGACAATGAGGAAAACATGGAGACCAAGTAGGTGCTTTTACGTAACAATAAAATTCCAAACTTAATCTCTAAGTTTGAACAAACCTGAAAACAAAAAAGACTTTTTAAAAGGTGCCAAAAATGACCCCCAGTAGGTAAAGTTCTAGTACGCCACTGTGAAGGGATGGTACAGATCTGCAACCATATGGCTAACTTGTATTCATTTCACGAATGACTCCCCTACTTCCAGGCTTACCTCTTCTTTGTGAATGACGTTGACCCTTGTTTTAATGTAGGGAAAGGCATGAGAAGTGGTCAGAATGGTCTTCCGCTTGAACTGCTCATGCAGCTCCCCGTGGGCACGGCCATCTAAAGTGAAGGGCGTACAGTACATGAAACGGCGAAGATTGTAATTTTTGTCAAAATACGTGATTCGGTCCTTCATTTCGTATGTGTCGAAGTATGGCTCCACGTAGGTGATCTGAATATACGCCTGGGGAAGGAAAGAGCCCTTCAGTGCTTCACGGCTCAGCCTCGCCTGGTGTTTCCAAGCAATGCTGCAGGGGCCCTCCAAGACACGCCTGCGCGCCCGTACAGCCGCCCCCTACCTTGCTGGGGTCTAATTTACACTTGTCCACAGGGTTAGAGTCTTTGATCACTTCCACCACATCCTCTCCAAATCTTTCTCCATAAAATCCCTGCAATAAAGAACAAGAAATCCTTTACATGAAGTTAGCAGGGTTAGTAAATAGAGCAGGCTTCTGAGCAAAATCTGGCAATGTAGTAAGTACTGTCAATTGTTACAAAGTAATAATTTATTCTTTACTTATTTATTTGATATTATTCCCAGCCATGTACTTTAAATAACACAAAATAAAACAAAAGGAACGTTTTTGTCAATAAAAGCACAGGATTCCATGAGGGGTCTACAAAAGAAACACAGGGAATAGAACATAAAGGAAAAGCTGCTCACTGTGATGTGCAGATACTTTTTACTGAGTCTGAGTAACCAGCTTGCTTACAGACCATGGTCAATTTTAAGTAACATTCCTGAACTTTTGGCCAGGTGTGGTGGCACATGCCTATAATCCCAGCAACACAGGTGACTGAGGCAGGAGGATCACTATGAGCTTCAGTGCAACCTGCGCTACACAGTGAGTTCAAGGGCAGCCTGAACCACACAGAACACCCTGTCTCAAAAAAAAAAAAAGGCGTGGTTATCCCTCATGCAGTCATGTTCAGGCAGCACGCTGATCTAGAGTTGTGTTCGACTCAACTAATCGCAACACTCAGAGGCTGAGGCAGGAGGATCATTACAAGTTTGAGATCAGCCTGGGCTACAAAGTGAGTTCAAGGCCAGCCTGGACTGCATTGTGAGACCCTGTCTTAAAAAAGACAAAAAAAAAAAGGAAATTCAGCCTTAAAAAGAACACACACATTGATCTGTTGTAGCTGCATACAGTTTTGGTTTCTGACTTTTAGACTTTCCCACAGGACTAACAGAGGAACCGTGGCATGATTAGAATACTCAGAAGGAAAAAGCGGCCTCTGAGATGTCAAAGGAGACACTCCCACCATGGCCCAGAGGCACCTTCTGTAATGACATTTGGAAACACTCTGAGTATTTCCCAACACTCACCTCCCTTGAAAAAGAAAAAGTCACAGTTTAAGCCAGTTTTTAAAAGCTGAGCCCAGCAAAGCCCTTAGTAAAAATGCAATATTCAGGAATTATTCACAGTGGAGGATAAAAGCAAGCCTGAGTGCTGCTTCTCAGTTGCTTCCGTGAGGGAAAAAAATCACTGTGGATCTGGCCAAAACGCAGGTCTGACAGGCAGGCCTGGGCTGCTGTCCAGACCCTCTGCCCTCCATGCTCCTCGCCCGTGCACGGAACAGAAGGAAGGCAGGGAAGCCCGGTCAGCCCGGGAAGCATGACAGCCCTCACTCGGGCTGAGGTAGGGGCTATGAAGGTGGAGGGTTCTAAGTGCTAGCACTCACCCTGCTGGGGACAGGGTGAGCTAAAGAGACTGGGTCAAAATGTCCCATGGTTCTGCTTCCACTTCCATTCTTTGCTGCTACTTAATTCATTCTTTCTACCAAAGGTAGATAGTCAGATTTCAGCACACAAGTCACATTAATTCTGAAGACTATAAGAATTTCTAAAATATGTGTGATGCCAGGCATGGTAGAGCTCCCCTGTAATCCCAGCATTCTGGAGGCTGAGGCAGGAAGACTGCAAGTTTGAACCTAGAGTGGGCAATTAAGTGACTTGACAAGACTGCTTCCAAATAAAAAAATAAAAAATGGGCTGAGGATATAGCTCACCACGAAGGCCCTGGGTTCAATATCCAGCAATGCCCACCCCTGTTCAAAGCATGAAAATACAGTGGAGCCTTAAAAAAATATAATTAATAATATTTTAAGCCAGGCATGATAGCACATGTCTATAATCCCTGAATTCGGGAGGCTGAGGCAGGAGGATCACTGAGAGCACAAGGCCAGCCTGGGCTATACAGTGAGTTCAAAGCCAGCCTGAACTGCACAGTGAGACCCTGCTTCAAAACAACAATAACAACAACAACATTTTACTGTTGCCAGAAGGTATTTTTATTATTATTTTATTTATTAATTAATTTATTTACTTACTTAAGTCTTTTTGAGGCAGGGTCTGCTATGCAGTTCAGGCTGGCCTTCAGCTCACTTTGTAGTCCAGGCTGGTCTCAGACTCGCAGCAATCCTCCTGCCTCAGCCTCCCCAGTGCTGGGATTATAGGCATGCGCCACCACGCCCCGCCTCATCATAAAGTATTTTTAAAAGTATTATTGTGCCTATCAGAAACCCTTGTACTCTGAAGGAGTGTTATTTGGTAGGATCAAGCACACTAAATGACTCAGTGTAGATCTAAAGGTCTACTCATTACAGAGAATACAAATTAAAGAGGACATTTTATGAACCACCATAGCACTCACCTCCAATCTGTGAGAAATCTCAGCAAGTTTGGTTATTGCAGGCTCCTTGTAAACAAATTCCTGTTCATCCAAATCCCCGAACTTGGTTCCATAAAAACCAACGCGAAAATAGGTGCCAAACATCCGCTTACCATCCTAGGTTTAGGAAAATGAGGAAACTTTAATATAACATCTTTTTTGTTTTTCACATTATACTTAAGATTAGAATAGCATAAAAGTCTCTAAAACAGTGTAAAATGTTTTTGTTCAAAATTATGGTATTTTTACTATCTTTCAAATGAAAGTTAAAAACAAGGTAAATAGTCTTTTTTTTTTTTTTTTCATTATTTCTAACCAACATTATGCAGTTAGGGCTTTTACCAAGTGACTAAATCACAGAAGAGATATTTTTCAGACCTGGTGTAAAGCATCACATTGGTCAAAGTCTATAAAACTGAGTTAAATCACTTTTCTTATGTCAAGAAAATATACTTGTAAGAACACAAATGGTGTCTTAACTGTTCTACTATTAGAACGTATTGAAGTTAACTTTAAAAACAACACCAATACATTTTTGAATTAGCATTAGCCTTTACATAACCTCTTTATATATAGTAAGTTTATAAAAGTTAGCAGTCAAGAACAGCACGTGGTATATAGCAACCAGTAAAATGTCAAGGCATTCCAGATGTACTAAAGCCAAAAAAAAGCTATAATTAATATCTTGCATTGATAAAAATATTTTTTGTGGGGCCAGGGATACAACTCAGTGACAGAACCTGCCTCACAAGCGTGAGGTCCTGAGTTCCATTCCCAGTACCAAAAAAAAAAAAAAAAAAAAAATTTATATGTAGAATCATAAAAAATGCAATAGAGGAAAAGATAATTTTTAAAAAATTCTTTGAGATGGGATTATTCTAAAGACCCACAGACCCCCACTACATGCATTAACCATGTACTGATCTCAGAATTAAGTCACCTTAACTCTCACACAGCACGTCTGCGGAAAAGTCTTTCAATAAAGGTAAGTATGTGGAAGCTTTCCATGCAATTTGACACAAAGCTGTTTCAGAAGGATTTTGTGGCAGCTCCTAAATATATGACCACACGTAAATATTTAAATTCCTCTGAATTCTTTTAAAGCCTGATTTGATTTATATTTATTCTTCCTATGTAGGAAAAATTAAAGGGTATATAAATCAAATTACAAATGATACAGGTATTTAAGTAAAATGCGAATTTCACTTAGCTTACCAATTTTGTAATACCACATGGAAAATATTAGTGTCCAAAAGCACCCGTATATTTTTGTCCAAAATAAATAGAGTTTTAAAGAAAAATAGTTCTGGTGCTAAAGAAACTTTAAGTTTCTAATTTAAAAACATTCTTCATACTTATTTTAAAATTTAATAGACAAATACTTGACTTCTATAGCAAACAAAATCTTTCTAGATGGATTCATTAAATTTGACCAAAATTCTGATTAAAACCACCAGTGAGCCAATGCAGTAAGGCAACTATAATACTCAAGGAAAGGGGGCACTAGGTGGGAAATAGAACAACATCTGAAAAATGAATAATTGGTGATCGTAATTTTTTCAAAATGTCATACACATACACAATATATTCCTATTTTTTAAATGCCATTTTTCTATCTGAGTTTGAAACTCTGATGCTTCTGGTTTGAAACTCTATTCCCACACTTTTACACTGTGACCCTTTAACTATGTGGAGATGGTAATTCGGACTTGTTTCCCTTAGGTAACTCCCCATCTGTGTCAGTCTCCACAACAGGAAGTACTGTCCTGTGTGCACTTTATTTAGAGTAGCCCTCTAGAAGCGGATGGAACTGGGGCGGGGGCGGGGGGTGTCATCCAAACAATAAGGTATCGGGCTCAGTGCTCCCTGGACCTGGACAGTGGATTTTGTCAATGCAGCCTAAAACTGAACTACCTCTCCTGTGTACATGCAGTTAAGGAAAACAACTACTGAGTCTTTCCTATGTTAGCTATTGCTCATCCTCAGTGACACGAAAATAAACGTAAGTAAGACTTGCTCCTCGAGAAAGAAAAGGGTTCAATTAATACACACTACAAAGCGACCCATGCTGCTGTGGAGGGTGGTATCGGGAAAGGCAGAGTCAGCTTGTTGAAGCCAAGTGGCAACTGCAGTGCTAGTGAGAGATGCGATTTGTCATTCAAAAGAACTGTCAAGTGGAGGCTGGAGGGAGGAGGCGACGCTCCCGGGGAGAGCAGCAAGAGGCCCCTATAGGTCAGAATGCAGAATGTGGGTTAGAAAACTGCTCTCTGCTCAGTGCCTACTACATGTCAGCCAAGGCTGCAGACAGGAGTGATAATCCCTGAGCAAAGTGACAAGGGAAGCAGCCAGGGCAGGACGCGTCCAAAAGGCAGCAGCAGAACAGCGGCCTGAGGGTGCTTCGCATAGTCTCTGGGGAAAGAGCCGTGCACAGGAGAAGGCCAGGCAGCTGGAGCCCGCCTCTGTGTCCATGGAACAGCGGGGTGGGCCACAGGGCTGGCGCAGAGGCAGAGGAGCGAGCCCAGAAGTCTCGGGGCCTTAAGAACAGTGTGCTCCCGTGTGTGCACTGTCACGGGGAAGGGCGCTGCGGGCCGTGAGGCTCAGAGAAAGGCAAAGGCTGAGTCTGAAAGACTCCATTTCAACTATGAAGTCTCTCAGGCTGTCACAACACCAGCCCTATGCAACGAATGAAGACACAGTCACCCAGCTTCAGCTTTGGGAAAGACGTCCAAGCGTGAGCGTTAAGAGAGAATCATTTTGCATCTTTCCACCTCAAGTTAGCGCAAGCTACATTTCCTGGTGATCTAGCAGAATGTAACTGTAACAAAGCTAACCCCATCATTTCTGGCCTCTCTGGAGAGTGTAAGACACCTCTACTAGGGTAGAGTTTTCCCTCTGAATATGTTACAGTCTTTTTAAAAATGGAGACAGTGTCATGTCACTATGTTGTCAACATTTGGAGACTGGTTTTCTTAAAAAAATATAAACTTGTAATAGCATACTGCTGAATATGACCTGATCACTATTTGACAAAGGACAAAGGTATCTTTTGAAAATAAATATGTACACACAAAATATGAAAGTTAAAAACTTTTCATATAGAAATTAAACATTTTTCTTCTGAAAATAATTTAAAACGCATGGTAGTGGAGAGATGATTTATTCCTATTATCTCAAGAAAAATAAAAGGGCTCTGGGAAAAGATAAAAGTGAACACTAAACATTTATTATGAAATGGAAACTAGCAGAGGAGATAACAGCCACAAGATTCCTAAAGAGCTCACAGTGTGTTATTCTACATGGTAAAGACTTTACCAAACTGTAACGTATGAAGTTTTAGGATTATCTTTTACATGCACACACACGTTCTTATATTTTCCCTCCCCAAAACCTTTGTTATCTGAAATAATTTGTATGGACCAAGGGATACAATGAAACACACTGCTAATATATAACCCCAGAGGACTTTTCTTGTAAGTCAGAACATTACTAATTCAAAGAGCCTTTCTACAATGTATAAATTATCCTTACTGAATCTCAATCCAGGCAGAGCTCTGAAAGGATACTAAGAAATTAGCTAGGAAACATGATTTTAGAAAAAATGAAATTACTGAAGTTTTCACAGAGTCAAAAAGAAAAAATATTCACGAGATAGGAACTTACCACAATAGACAATAGTAAAAGTAGGGAGTAGGGTCAGCAACCAGGGGCAAGAAAGAAGAGAAAACAGAAAGCATTTTAATTAGGAAAATTTCAAAACAATTAAGCAGCAAATGGCAGCAAACACATTTTTAAAATGCAGGCATCCATTAAAGTTTTACAAGGAAAAAGCAAAAACAAACGTGCAACAAATTTAGACGCTACGAAGCTAAAGGACCAGTAAGGTAGTGACAAGTACATAAACAAGAAAATAAAGTCGGTGTGACTTTTACCATGCAATCAACATGATGAAAGAATGGTATTAATGTCATAACCAGTGAGAATTATACTGTTCAGGGGTCGATTTAGCATCAAGCAGACTAGTAATAAACTGCTCAGAGGTTTTAAGTCTCCCTAATTTTCATTATATGTCTAATTTTCAACTAATTCTACTGGACATCAGAATAGCCATATGGAACTTTATCTCTCAAAGGTAACCAGGGCAGGTCTCTGTATTCATGTCATGTTAGGTACTGCTAGGGCAATACATATCTAAACTAGAGAATCAAAGTAGGTATGTACGTCTTGCCTTCATCTAAAGAAAAGTAAAAGGTAAGTAGTATTTCAGAAATGGAAGGAAACTTAGTTGGAATATTTATTCCTAAGGTTTTCTACTTGGGTCCCCAAACAAGGATTTCAAAGCAAAACCAATCAGAAAACTCTATGCTATTTAGTCAACATAAACTTGACTACAAAATGACAGGCAAAGCACACAACTTTATACACACACCTAGCTTTAAATAAACCTGGTTTATTAGTACCTACCTTAACTTAGTTAAAATAAATTAGTGTATAATTTTCTCCTTCACAGAAAGATGTAAACCAATATTTAACAATTCTTCCTGGCAATTTTCAGGTAAGATTTATTCATACTAACTCTTCATAATCCTAAGTACTATACAAAACCAAAGCACAAGTAGACTACATGAAATACTAACAAATCAAACATTGTCAGAATGAGATCAAATTAAATTTCAATTTCTCTCAATCTCTTTATCCCTTCCCCCAACAAAATTTAAATAACAAAACTGAATTTCCTTCTTCAGTAGGACTTATACTCAATGTAAAGGACTCAAGATCAAGTTAACAGTATTTCATCAATTCTCAGACACATTTTTTTGCCTGCATTTTAATATCTCTGTAGTTAGCATTCATCTGTCAACTGGTTAATATACAGTTTTTCTCTCTCTTAAAAACATAAATTAATAGTATTTCTTATAGTCGATGATGTCTTAGATCAGATGACATATAGTATTTTTTCTATTTATACCTCTGAGCAATAACACATAAATCGACCTCTGTAAAATGAAGTGAAACAATATTGTTAAAAAAAGGAATCTGTGTGTAAATGTTGATGAAAGAAATGCTTCAAAGGATAAAAACAAACTAAAGTGATGACAAGTGGCTCATTTACCAAAGAATCTCATTAGTGTAACGTAACCATTTCCATGCACTGCCTACGACCTCTTAATAATACATTTCTTACAATAACTTAGTTATTTCAAAAAAATTTCTTTGGTTAATGAATTCAGTTGATAGCAGATAGCAACAGAACACCCACAGCTAGCACATGTGGGCAAAGCATTGGCATAACAAATCTGATCAAATCAATCTATTAGTGTCTTTAACTAACTAAAACATTACCTACCTCCCAGCCAGTACTCTGTATAATAAAAAGTAAAAAAGGGCAAGTCATAAAAAAAAAACTGTTTAAAAGGAACAGTAACAACAAAAAAGGCCAAAGGGAAGTTCAACAGGGAAAGGTACCATATCACATATTCTTCTCCAGGAATGGAAGATGACAAGATGTTTAAAACAGCACATTCTTTCACTTAATATCTACTATAATTTGATGAATTACTATTTCAAAACCTAGTAGCTAAGACTTTGCCTTTTAAAATCTGTAACTTTTTCTTATGTGAAAAGTGTAAAAAATACTTTCTAAGTGAAAGTACAAATTTTGGGGAAAGAACTGGCTGCTTGTCTCATTTATCTGTCTAGGTTAGATCTCTCAAGTGAGCTACATTTCACTGAAATATCCAGGTTAAACTGAAATACAAAAGGCAATTTTGCCCAAATGTCACTGACAGAGATGGATGACAGTGTCTTGGATAGTACTAGCTCTAGATCTTCCAGACCTGATACACATAATTTGTAGCTTGCAGCTCTGGAAGTTGGGATGAAGTTCCTTTCACAGTGTACAGACAACCAACTAAAAGATCCTCCTGTTAGGATCATGAAACTTATCATCTGGTGTTTTGGTTTTTTAACTTTAGTATTTTAGGAGAGGACAACACAGTCTCATCCTAACAGGATGAGCAGTCCTATTTTATTTTCGGATTATATCAATTCACTTAGAACAGATTAGCCCATTGGGGAAAAGACAGGCGATCCAGCGGACAGACAATCGAGTGAGACCAGTGCTCATACACAAATGGGAGAATCATCTACCTTGTTCTTGGGGGAGGGTGGCAGCAGTAACAGCATGGGTAGCATAAGAAAGGGAAGGGAAGAGTGCAGCAGGAGGAGGCTTAACAGGATCTTTCAAAATTCAGCTTCAAAGAAATCAGCTGCTATCATCTACTTCATTTGTAAACCAAGTTTAGTTTGATTCTAATTTGGGTGATAACATGGGCTTATATAATCATACTGTTAGAATTAAGTGCGATAAGACACCGATTTTATTATTCTCAGTAGGTATGATTTTCATACAACTGCTACAACTGTACCAAGGACAACCGAATGCAAACAACTGGAAGACTAAAGTTCATCTACAGTGACTCACTTAAACATAAAAATCAAATTCAGTTATAAACTACTTTGTGAAACAAAACAAATTATAGTTCAAAAACCTGCTAATTAGTAATTTATTTTTTAAAAGCTTATGGAACATTTGTAACGTTTACTTTAAGGAAATCATTTTTTTTTTTTATGAATAAGACTTGCTTTAGCCATGAGCCATCACTTTGACTACTCATGTGAAACTTGATTGAAAAGGTCACTTCATGGGGTTTAGTTTGACACATGTACAAAACAACACTAAGGCTTTGAACAGTTTTTTTTGCTTATAACTACAGATAGAAATTGAAATAATTACCTGATGAACAATTTTGCTGAATGCTTCTTGAAGTTTACCATGAATTGTGGATAGTTTCTTTGCATCCCGATTAGCTTCATGAATAGGAATGAGTACTTTGTAAACCTCATTAACTGCTTCATACATGCCAGCCTATAAAAATGTTTGTAAGATATTGCCTTTACATCAAGAAGCAAGTAAAATAGATACAATTTAGAAATTGACAATTTTCTATTAAAACAATACCGCTGAAATTCTTCCAACTAAGATATAAGAGCAAACTATCATTTTTAATTGTACTAGGCCTTAACAAAAGACGTTTTCACTATCTGTCCTCTCCTCTGGATGGGTAGATATGTACACACATGCATAGTCATAGTTCCATATAATTTGAGTTGCACATTCTGCTTCTATGTACCCAGAATTACTTCACTAAGGTAAATGTGGTTATGCACGCATATACTTACTGAAGCATATACACTCCTGCAGAAACTAATTCTGAGTAGAAGAGTGAAAGACATTTGATTATGATAATGACCACAGCTACCCAATTTTATAATCAGATGACCTGTGGCCTCCTGAGAAACTAGAATCACTTACTTTCCCAAAACATTAACTTGGCATCTCCTATAGAAAAATCTTTAATTTTTTTTTTGTCTTTTTGAGACAGGGTCTCCCTATGAAGTTCAGGCTGGCCTTGAGCTCACTTTGTAGACCAGGCAGGTCTCAAACTCACAACAGCCCCCCTGCCTCAGCCTCCTGAGTGCTGGGATTACAGGTGTGTGCCAACTGCACCCAGCTTCTTCCAACATTTTTGATCTTTAACAAAGTATGAGAAGGTTTTGAGTCAGCAGATTTTCTTCTACAGGCGACAGCTGGCCAGTGGTTAGCCAGTGGCTGGATCTGGTTTAAGCAGAGTAGGAGATGAGATGTGTTTTGTACTGGGCTCTAACCCTTTTCCTTAATAGTTGGTTGGCACTGGAGAGAGTACAGATAGATGTTTTCCAAAACCAGTGAGTTCCCACTGCTTCCAAATCAGCAAATACATTTGCCCAAGAAAACAAACATAGGATCCTTATATATCCTGGTCAATTCACAGAATATAGGCAAGCAGTAACATAGCTGAAATACTGAAACATCTTTAGCATAACTTAAAGGCCTTGTTTATTATTTTAATTAAAATTAGACTGAAAAAGAGTAAGATTCATAATTTTGTAACATATAATCACATGTGTAGTATACACAGTTATGTTAAAAATGAATAAAATTATATACAAGCAGAAGAATTTCTGGCCAGCTGTGGTGACCCATGCCTGTAATCCCAGCACTCAGGAGGCTGAGGCAGGGGGAACGTTGTGAGTTTGAGACCTGCCTGGTCTACAAAGTGAGCTCAAGGCCAACCTGAACTTCACAGGGAGATCCTGTTTCAAAAAGACAAAAAAATTTTTTTTCTGTAACACAGGCCACTGTCCCCTGATCTAAAGGCACTATTGTAAATTATTAAAATCACCAAACTCCACTGTGTTTATAAAAATATTCTATTGACAGCCAAAAAGCTTTCCCCCTGCTGTTTGTCCCATTCAGGGAACGGAATTGTGATGGTCAGGGTCCCTAGAGTTAAGATATTTTAAAGAGACTTATTATTTTAGGTTGTGAAAAGTACTACGCATTTCAGAACTGCTGTATTTAAATAAGCTGGTTCTAAGCGTCAATAACAAGGACTGACTCGGAGAGAGGCACTACGGCAAGCACCTCACATACATCAGCTGATTTAACCAAATAACCATCACACGAAGCAGGTATATGACGACGTATTTAACAAGAGAGAAAAAGGGGGCACCAAGTGACTCAGTAACCTGTTCCAGAAGTATAACAGCTATGAAGTAGCTGAGCTAGGATTTGAACCCCAGCAGTATGCCTTCTCAGTCTATGTCCTCAGCCAGTACTTTACAGGATGGGGTAAGGCACGGGAAGGAGCTTAGCCCTACACGTCACCTCAAGCTTCCATTCTACCCTATCAGGAGCCTCAGTGTCACCTAAACCTGGTGCTAGGACAGGGAAACTAAGCAGAAAAGCCAGAGCCAAGAGGTGACCCTGTGGGCACAGTCCAAGGAGTCAGCGGGAGGTGAGCCACCTTTTCCTCCTCCAATGAACACCCCACTGAGGCTCCACCTGCCTGCTTCAGTTCTTCACACACGGATGAGGGAAGAGGCCTGGCAGTGCGAGGGCAGTCTGCACGCACTTCCTACAGCTCCTCCTGAGGAAGCCCCAGGCCTCCGAGTGAGGGTCACTATGCAACGACAGGGCGCCACAATGCTGGGAAGAAAGAAGACTCTCCCCCTCACCCGGCAGGCCAGCTCTTGGTATGCAGCCGTGTTAGCATACCCAAACAGAACTTCAACTGCCCAGAGAAGTTCTGCTTGACTTTGTTCTACTTTTTACCTTAGAGCAATATTGGCGAACCTTTCAGAGCTTTCAATGATACAAACAGCCCACTGTGGAATGTGTCCATAGATCTGCCACCTCTGCCTTGAAGGCTTTAGAAAACATTTTTTGGTACAAGTTTTGTGATCTAAAAATATCTATTGCTGACCATGTATGTACTGCTACATGAGCAAGCGTATGAAAACCAATGGGGGCAATGACAGATTATTAAGATTAAAAAGGAGTAACCAATGGTGAATCTAGAAAAGAAAATTTGTTCCTTAACAGTTGTAGAAGGACTTGGAGGAAGTTATTTCACAGGCAAGGCAGGTCACAGGTCAGAATAAATATAAACATCACTGATAATATAGAGGTACAGAACTGTGGAAAGAGAAAGAACAAGAGTCGTCTACCATAGAGAAAGAAGCAGCTGCTTGCTCCAGCAATCCCACAAGTCCTGACTCAGTGAAGTACTTTCCAGAGCAGATACCTTCTTCATCTGGAGATACAACATCATCTGACACGGCAGATTCCTCCAGAACATTAGACGAAATATTCTAGGGGGAGAATGGAAGAAGTTTGCAAAATGGAATTAATTTTCTCGCATGAAAAATGTACATGAAGCAAGAACTGAAGATGAAACTTTTGGCTGAGACAGTCCAAAAGGACAGGCTGGCATAATCCAGGGGCAGAGCATTTGCCTAGCATGTGCAAGGCCCTGGGATCCATACTCAGCACTGGGGGAAGAAAAAGGTAAAGCTAAATCTCTAACAACTTCTGTATTTTGAAGATGACAGTAAAATGGCAATACCATTTCTAGATAACTGTTCCTGTCATAAAAAGTTATGAGAAAGAAAATTTGGGCTAAATAAGAGTGATATGATAAACTTTTTTTTCCTTTTTTTTGAGACAGCATCTCACTATGTAGTTTAGGTGGACTTGAACTCAGGTAGCCAGGCTGGCCTCAGCCTCCTGAGTGCTAGGATGATAGGTATGTGCCACCACGCCCAGCTGATGATATAAACTAAGGAGATCTACACAGTCTTTCTTTTCACAATAGTTGATCTCAAAACTCTATAAGGGAAATTAGATACAAAAATGTCTCCTGTCTGGCCTAATAAACACTGAGTTTATGAAAAAAGACAGGTATGAAAAACCCGTCTTTGAGCCGGGTGTGGTGGAGCACACTTGTAATTCCAGTACTGGGGAGGCTGAGGCAGGAGGATCATTGTGCGTTCAAGACCAGCTCACAAAGTGAGCTCAAGGCCAGCATGAACTGCATAGTGAGACCCTGTCTCAAAAAGATAAAAAGAAAGAAAGAGATAAAAACCTATCTTATCTAATGAGATTGGGATCAGCCATAATTTCTAAAAAAGTAATGGCACACATATACCTTGAATATTTTAATGTAAGCACTCATAAAAGATATACTCTCATTTGTCAATTTTTAAAGTAGGTTTAAGGTCTTTTCTGTAAAATAGAGTAAAACTTAATTTTTGGAATATTCTCACACTATCCTATATTTTTAGGAAATTTTTCTCTCAATTTTTCTGGTCTTGTCTAAAATTAATTCAACAGCAATTGTTTTGAAGTCACCTTTACTAAATCTTTGCAAAACACTCAACTTGGTGTTTAGAAAGTTTATAGTTTCTTTTTGCATTCTGATGCTGTCACAAAACATAGTTAATTAAATTTTATAGCATCCCACACGCCTTCACAGGTCCTGAAGAAAGGCAAGCCTGCCTGACTCTTGCTCAGCCAACAGCTGAGCAGACGGTCAGGTGTGCTGCCCGCAGAGCGGCACCGCGGCCCTCTGTGCACCGGGGAAGGCAGGGGGTGCTTGGCACGGTGTGTAAGGTAAAGGCCCACTGAGCCTTCACTTGCATTCCGGTTCCAGTACTCGGAGAGCAGCACATCTTCAAAGGTATTTATGTCCCTAACACTACAGGGTACTAAAGGGAAGAAACACACACAGCACTGCTAATTCAGAGGTGAGAAGCTGGGAACAGTCCACAAAAAGTCTCCTTTTAAAACGCACTCATGACAAGTTCTGGCTTAGGTCTCTGCGTGTTTTTCTCTTCACACTGAAGGCCTGCAGACACTAGCGAGTGGCAGCTACAACCGAAGCAGACCTACTCTGAACGCGTGCCTGGCAGACTCCTACCTGGAATGTCACACAGCCCACAGGCAGGTACTTGCGGTCCTCCAGCATGCTCAAGTACTCCGCCACCAGGGCGGCCGAGTGCGCCAGGCACTGCGCGGCCTCGGCATGGTTGCTGCGCTCCGAGTGCTTCCCCGCCATGTTCTGCAACCAGGTCAGCCGCAGGTCTGGAGAGGTCTGGTAACCTTTGGCAATTCTAATCAGAACAGAGATTCTTTTCAATGAGCACTGCTTCCCAAGCCAGGAGTTCAGAGTTTACCTTGACCTGCACACCACCTATTAACACAAGTTCTTTTCTTTTTTCCTTTTTTCTTTTTGAGCCAGGGTTTCACTATGCAGTTCAGGCTGGTCTTGAACTTACTTTGTAGCCTAGCTGGCTTCAAACTCACAGTGATCCTCCTGCCTCAGCCTCCCGGATGCTGGGATTACAGGTGTGCACCACCACGCCCAACCAAGACAAGTTCTTAGATGGTGTGAAAACATCAGTGTGTGTCCTTGAGAAGTCACTGACACGGGACTGTGTCAGTTCGGGTGGGGAGCAGAGGAGACAGGCCACGTTAAAACCTGGCCACCAAGGAAAGAGGGGAAAGGTCCGGGTGTATGTGTTCCTTCTGGGAATATGGTAAGGTTTCATACGCAAGTGAAAAAATAAAACATAAATGTAGTTTCACTGTGTCATTTTTATTTTAAAAAGAATGTAATTACTTTCTGTCTCGAACTGCAAAACTGTAAAAATAGAGGCTCATATGGTAAAGAAAAAGTCTGAAATTTTCCTACTGTATCTATTAGGATACAACAGGAATTATAGATTTCTCAAACTCTGTCCCTAAAAATACATTTAGTCATAACTGTGTTTAAAATTGGGACAATTAATGTTATAGCAAAACAGGAGCATACAGTATCTTTTTCTTAAATGACTGGTTTTTACATTTAAGAAATGGATCTTAGGACTTCCTAGGAAGACTGGGACCCAGGACCCAAGGTGTTAAATGTATGTTATGATTATCTTTTGCAAAGGGGAAGGCACCAAGAGACGGAGGGAGAGGGTAAGGAGGAAGAGGATACGAAAAGAATTACGAGGTGTTATGTATGCGTACCAACTCCTCACAATGAATGTGATCATTACGTACTGCAAACATATACCAACAGAAAGTAAAATGAGGCCAGGGATATAGTTCAGTGGCATAAGTGCTCCCCTGGTAAGCCTGAGGTCATGAGTTCAATTCCCAGTACCCAAATAAATAAATAAAATGAAAATTCTCTTGGTTTTGTCAGTCGATTAATAAACTGAACAGTGATCCACAGTTCCTGAAAGAAGTGACAGCGAAGATCTGAAAAAGTAGCCTGAAAGTGCTGTTTTATTTCCTAGGAGCCAGGGTCTCTCTCTGTAGCCGAAGCTTGCTTTGAACTTGCTGTGTAGCCTAACTGGTCTCAAACTCTGCCTCAAACTGCTCGGTGACTATTCAAACTACCATTAGAAAAATCACTTAAATAATTTTTGTATATTTACTTTTTCATCTAACGTTAAATCCATTACACAAAGTAAAAGTGAATCAAACAAGTGCTACCTGTACATCAGATCGATCAACATTTCAGGGTCCTCCTGGTGCTCCTTCATTTTAACAGTATCAGAAAGGATCATATGGAGATTGAAAACCAGATCCTGGACCTGCAGCACAATGTTACCATTCATTATCACTAAAATACCTTGACGGACTTTTCAGATAAACATCTGATAATTTCCAAACAAACTGTACTATACTGATAGGGTTCTACAGAGGGCAAGTATGCTGGGATACAGTAACGGGAGGGTTGTAAACTACAGAAACTCCTCAGAAGACATGTTTTTTCAGTTCTTCTGTCGGAAACAAGCAGAGCTATAAAGAAGAAATACACTGTAGGGATATGAGAAATACAAGTGAAACAAGAAAATTCTCTCCTATGTTTGAGATTTCACTGAAAGATAATTTGTAGAAATTCAGTTTTTTTAAGGCAGATTGCTGTTTAATAAGTGACAATGTTTTATCATAAAACTTCTGTCTATACTGCCTACCTTCAAGTCCCATTTATAAAGCACAGAATTAAACATCAACGATAGAACGATCCCAAAAGGAAGGGTAATATAATAGTTTTGTCTGAGGTACAAGATGTACAATGATCCTCTAGCAAAGAACAACACCTAACATTTAGAAAAGTACCCATTTCACAAGCCTATTTCAACGAACGATTCAGAAGTTCATCTGACCTGATCAGGAAATGTCGTTTCCCTCAACTCCAGGTCCTCTTCGGCATATGTCAATATAGTCTTTAGAGAGCGTCTTAGAAATTCTTCATTAAAATTCTGAGATGTGCCCACCAAGGAGGATAGCGACATTGTTACCTGCATCTTAACCCTGGCAAAGTTCTGCAACACAGAAATTACCAGGTCAGTATTTAATACAGAAAAGCTTATTTTTTCCACACTAAAATGAAAACAGTATCTGGTAAAAAGACAACAAAAACACTCATTCTAGGCAAAAATTTTTTTAAAGTAATGAAACCTGCACATTGAAATGTTATTTTATAAATGACTCAAACCGGGTGTGGTGGTACACACCTGTAATCCCAGCACTCGGGAGGCTGAAGCAGGAGGGTCGTTGGGAGTTTGAGATCAGCCTGGGCTACAAAGTGAGCTCAAGGCCAGCCTGAACTGCATAGTGAAATCCTGTCTCAAAAAGAAAATAAATAAATAAACAAATAACTGACTAACTTAAAATGTGGAATTCTGGTATAATATTCTACAAAACAGGGTTTTCAAAAAAGCCACATGTTTGAGCTGAACTGGAAATTGTGCCTTTTTATTTGTTCGTCTGTTTGTTTTTGAGACAGGGTCTTGTTATGCGGTTCAGGCTAGCCTTGAATTCAGTATTGAGCCCAGGCTGGCCTCACACTTGTGGAAATCCTCCTGCCACAGCCTCCCGAGTGCTGGGATTACAGGTGTGTGCCATCATGTCCGGCAGAAATTGTGCCTAGTTTTTCGTCTACTACGAAGTATGCAATGGTGACACAAAAATATTTTACAAATGAGATTAAGGAGCTTGGCTGACGTCATGAAATCTTTTGGTCACAGGTGTAGTGTTCACGCAGCCCATTTCGCTAGGGTCACACGATGATGAAAGCGATTAACACATACTACGTATACAGTAACTTAAGGTAAAGTCTTTTGTAGTTATGGCTTTACTACTTACATTCTTCCTTTTTAAGTGTAAATTCATTTCTGGTGTACCAATTCTCCATTATTAAATCACTCTTAGGAAATTATCAATGATAGCCTACTAATCGCCAAACCTAGGATTATTTTGGTCAGTACCGTACCCTGACACAGCTCCATGTTGACACACACTGATTACTTTCTCCTTGATCACCTCTTCCTTCATTTCAGCGGCACCACGTTATACTGGTTTTCATACTCTTTATTCACTCCTTTTCCACCAACTTTTTCCTCGCTTGTCTTTTCTGAACGCTAGTATTCTCAAAATTCTGTCAAAAAACGTCTTTACAAATTGGAAATGCTCTAAACAGCCTCATTGATGCCTTTCTTTTCACTCATGTTTTTGTCTTCAGCTTGTATTTCTCTTTGGGGCTCTGGACTGTTAATTTTACCAGGCAGCTCCAGCTGGAGGTTTTGCGAGTACCTCAAGGTCTACTTGTCTAACATACCTTCCGTTCCTATTGATTCTCCCCAAACTGAGGGGTCACCCCACATTCTTCACATCAGTACTCCAGCCTGCACCGTCTGCTGATCTGGTCTAGCCTGCCCTTCCTCTGTCCCCAACACCACTGCTTTGGTTCACACCCTCACCACTTCTCAGGTGGATTACTGGAACAGTACCCGAGGTTATCCTCCTTTCCCTTTTATGCTTCAAGTCCGACTTCTAAGTAGTGCCAGGGATACGTAAAAAGCACATCTAAAGAACCACTCTTCTCTTTAAGATACTCAACCAGTTCTTCCCCTTAGCATTATGGGAAAATCCAAATATTCAACTCAATAAATATGTCAAATGTATAGCGGTACCTGAGAGTTATAAATACCTGCTACCTCATCACAGTCCAGCTTTCTGAAACACAGCTTCATCTCCTGTTTCTGTCTTCCACCATAACCAAGCAGTGCTGAAACAGTCTCTGTGCTCACCTGTTTCTTCTTCTTACTTTCACGGGTTCTCAGTTGTGCATGTCGCCTTCTTCACCTCGGAAGCTCCAGCACCCACCCATCTAGGGAGCTCCCTACCACTTCAAGCATCTGCTCTTCCTGAAAGCCCTCCCGATCACAGCCCCTTCCGTGTGCGCTCACAGAGCCCTGTGCTCCTCTTAGGCGCTACAAGCACCTGTTCAACACCTGCAGAGGACGACTTCTGTCCTGCTGTTCTCTTTACTTTATATAATCCATGCAGAACCATCTGGAATAGGTTCATCTATTATTAGATGAGCACCACTTACTGGTACCCTTCTCCTACAGATACGAAGTTCTTTGAAAAACTAGACTATCCCTCTACCTAGTATTGGGGACCCCTGCAGTGAGCCTCCAACCTCCCGCCAGGTGTTATGGCCTCATGGTGCAAAGAAAGAGCAAGAGACAAAATGGCGGCGCAGTGGGGATCTGGGTGACCAGTTGTTCATGGGGAACAAAAGGCCACGAGGCAGCCAGAACTCGGCCTTTATTGACTGAAAGGGGGATTATCGGATGACTCAGAGGGCAGTGCTGGCCTGAAGCTAATGATGCTCTTGTCCTGGAGCGTCCTTAGTTGTAGTTTTAGTCTTAGTAGGTGGCAGAAGATGGCCCACCCCTAATGTGATAATGGGAAATCTCAGAAGAGCGATCCCCCAAATCCCAAGCCTCCACTCATCCCTCAAGGAAGTATGTAAAACTAGCCATTGTGAATTTGTGGCCCCAAGGATCTGTAGTTGCCCAACTTAGGACACAGTTCAATACTTCAGTATCTGTTGAATAAATAAACCATTCAGATTACTGCCACTTTTAAGTGACCCATTCCACTACAGAGGCACTACCTGATACTAATCTAATTAACTACCTTTTCACTCTCTTGTACAGTTTTCCTCTTTTTTTGTCTTTTTAAGACAAGGTCTCGCTATGCAGTTCAGTTTGGCCTTGAGCTCACTTTGTAGCCCAGGCTAATCTCAAACTCACAACAATCCTCTTGCCTTAGTCTCCTCAGTGCTGGGATTACAGGCGTGTGCCACCACACCCGGCTTTCTAAAGCTTTCCTAAAATAAGAGAAAGTATTTACCAAGAAAGATCTAGGTTTCATCAAATTGTAGAGATTTTATTTGCAAAACTAAACAAGATCTATAAAGTAACTAGAATATTATGCTCTGAATTAAGACATGACACCAAGGGAAAGTAAAGCAGTGTGAAATAGTAATTTCCCACTTTTTCTGAATTTCAGCCAAATATAAAAAATGGATAGGGAAAACCCCCACATATCAGAAACCCGACCTTCATCAAAGTGAGAGGACAGTGATGTAATCCATAGATTAGAAAAATGCAAAAAGGTTTCCAGGACAATCTAACACAGGAAGTAGTTCCACTGTAGTGCAAGAAAGTGAAAGCAAACAGTGAGGTATCATAGGGCACAGATTTTAGAACTAATGGAAAAAGCAACTCTCCTTTAAGTAAGAAACTTGCCTTGAAATGATGAAACTGTTTTGTCTTGAAAACAAATTGGGTAAAAATAGGGCAGGCCTAAACAGAAACGGACCAATTAGAAAGTTCAGAAGTTCAACAACATGTGTGTATAATATCAAAATCCCAGCCACAACACATTGTTAAAGGAACTTCTTACAAGTACTGGAATAAGATAATCCAACTTATTCTATGTTCAGTAACAAAACGGGGAGAAAGATCAGCGTGGTCATGTGTCCACTAGTAACAGGGATTCTAGAAATGCTTTTAGGGGATTCTGCCATTGCATGAGCATCACAGAGTATACTTGCACAAACCAAGATGGCTATGGTGACTCTGGAAGATACAACCTTATAGGACCACTGTGGTACAGTGCTGGACCAGCTTGACGAAGTGCAGAGCAGGCGGTAATTGACGTCAATAAACTAGCATTAAGTGAACTGACAGTCTGTGCTATGCGTAAGTGACTTGTAGCAAGGCCTGCGGCTGGCATGGGGACAAAATTAATCCCCAGGCCAAGAGCCAGGACAGAAACCAGCAAAGTGTGTGAAGTCCTGGTGCCTCAAAGAAAACAAACACTACAGCTGAAGACTTCAGCTCATCCAAATTCCTTCCAGCTCAGTAGTCGCAGCAGACAATCAGGTTACTAGTTAACCGCGCTCTGTTCCTGTGCTTTGTTCTTCACAGCCCTGAGCCCTGCCTGTGTCATCTGCTCACTCCCATCACTTCCTGCAGCCAGCAGAGCGCTGCCCCTCCCAAGCAAGCTGTGCACCTAATACAGGCGAGGGACACCAGGCCTCTTGGTCTGAGTCCTTCTTTAGGCTCTGACCATCCCAGTGCCCCTTGCAACTGAAATACACACCTGTCTGTGTTTTATCCCTTCACTGTATCCCTGAGCGGGAAATTGGTGGTCCTTTTAGACCAGGGCCCCAATAATACAGGTGGTCCAGCACTGGCCAAAACACTGGTATGCGAGGCATGACCGTACTTGACAGAAGAAAGGTGTCATAAAGCAGACGAAAATTCTAATGAAATACTTCACCTTAAGTTATAAAAATTATAAAGATACTTAGCTTTAGGAAGAAAAGCAAGGCAGAAATATAAAAACTCACGGAAAGATGGTAAGAATCAGAAATCTGTAACATAAACCAGGAGAGTATGAGCTGGCACAAGACAACTTTTACATAAAAAAATAGAAATAAAGATGAAATTTTTAAAACACCAGAAAGGAAAAGAAAAAATGACAGGTAGAAAGTAAAGCCCAAAAGATCTAGCATACGTATAACTGGTATCCAGCAGAGGAAACACCAAACACTGGAACAAAAGAAATATATAATTAATTTATTTATTTTTTGTCTTTTTTTGAGACAAGGTTTTGCTATGCAGTTTAGGCTGGTTTTGAACTCACAGCAATCCTCCTGCCGCAGCCTCCCAAGAGGCTGCGATTACAGGTGTCACCACACCCGGAAATATTTAATTTTATACTGCAGAAAACTTTCTGAAATAAGTGAACTGAAAGGACACATTCTGTGCCCAAGAAAACTACCCAAAATCAAGTCAATGTCATATTTTAGAAAAGGTATTTAATTCATATAGAAAGTATGACTCTCTTGAGCAGGTGAAAAAAATAATCAAGTATGTCTCTTCTTTCTTCTACTAAGTGTTCTCTGTCTAATAAACTTGCTGATCTTTCTGAGTTTTTTATTGCTCACAGTCTGAAACAGAAATTTCACAAGTACCCTTGCCACCCTACAAGTATACTCAACTTTGTAAAATCAAAAACTAGGAAAATATCTAGTATTCCCCAGAACTTTCCTGAGGACAGATTTAGTCAAATAAGATTAAAAGCCCAAAGTATTTTATAAGCAGGACTAAACACTATGAAAAAACTGGGAGGGAGGAAGAAGACAGAAAGGAAAACACAGTTATATCTGCAAAAGAAATGAATTAACATTATTTGAAGCTGACGAAGTGTTACAGATTCAGCGACACAAATATAAGTACTAGGAACGATACTTTATTAAACTATTGTGGTAGGAAGAAAGGCAGAGGGGAGAGTGAAGAAAAGCAGCGAGCTTATCACCACTCACTAAAACAGTGTCCACCCTGCCCGCTTAGAACCTTTATAAACACTTTTCTCTAACCACCTCCCCTGTGAAATTTTAATACCAGGGGTCTACTGTGTATTTACGTACTCTTCGTATATCTGAACTGATATATAAAAAGACTATATATAAAGTTTACTCTTTTTATTTAATGCAAAGTTATGGACAACCAAATAAATCTTTAATTCAAAAATGTGAAAACTATAGATTTAACTTCATAGCCCTGATTGCTGACTAACTCTTAATGTCATTTTGTTTAAATCAGTCATTTCTATAAATACAATAGTAATGCAATCTAATTTTAAAATTTGAAATAGCTGTTTGATTAGAAAGTAAAAAAGTAATTCCTTAGAAATCATTTTACTGGACTTAACTTTTAACTTTTGATATATGAAATAGGTTTCCACCTAACTAGCTTTTTTTTTTGGTTTTTCTCCGGTACCGGGAACTGAACTCACGACCTTGAGCATGCCAGGCAGGCGCTTTTTGCCACTGAGCTAAATCCCCAGCCCCTCCACCTAACTAGCTTAACTAGCTGCTAGAGGCTCTTATTCAGGTATTACTGACATTTTCTCTTCTTGGCAACTGGTACAATCAATGATGGGTGAACAGCTTGGAGAAACGAGCATCAGTCTTGACAGTTACCTGACTGTCTTCAGAGACACCAAGGAGACCAATCAGAGCAGCACCCTGTGGGCATGTCTTGGTAGGTCGTGCAGGCATGACATGGGAAACAACCCTTCCCGAGGCACTCTCTGGCTCTTTCCCTGCTCTGGTTTCTAGATGCCATAAATGTGCCATGATGTTCCTGCCTTGGTGACACCCATGAAGGAAGAACCCTCTGAAACCATTGGCCAAAATAAACTTTCTCTCCTTTAGATTATATATGTCGGCTATTTCATCTCAGTGACAGAGAAGCTGACTAATAGAGAGACTATGTTTTTTAAAAAAGCACTGAGAATTAAACATAAACATCTACAATGAAGCCAATGGGTGCCAACCTCTTGATGTGTGACTCTGAGATCATGCAATTGATGCAAAGTCCCCCATACTGCCATCGATTCTCACTATTCTTCTGTAACATCAGTTTTAAAACACCATGTTTTCTAAATAGGAAAAAACATAAAAATATATAACATGTCTAGCGCATGGGAGTATTAGACTCTGTAACACTGATTCTGCACACATTTTGTTCCCCAAGTTCCACGAACTCAGTGTCAGTGCTGCTCGTGTGATACCCACTAATACTGACGAGGGAAACAGGAATGAGACGTGACTGTGTAGTGCTGAACTTCGCAGGGCCACATACCACAGTAACAGACAGCCCCCACCCTAGCCCCACAAGAATCGATTTCCTCTCTTAGCAGCAATGTTATCCTCATTGAAATGCATGACTGAAGAAATAGAGGACTAGGGGTAAAACATCATTATAAGGGTAGCCATCAAAACAAAAATACAAACTTTCTCAAATGTGATAAACATGATCACATAGTCTACATAAATACAACCAACACAAAATTTTAAGTGGGGGAGAGCCAAGGGGGGAGGCATAACAAAGTAATACAACAGAATTCTAGGATATATCTACTATAATAACAAATATAAAAAGGTTTAGATCAAAGAAGAGACTGCATGGTAAGGCAAAATTCAACTATATCATGTATATGAGAAGAACACCTAAAATTAAGTAAAAATAAATGAAGAGGCAAAAGTAAATGAAGCAAGTTCAACTTAAAAAAGAAAGCAGAGGGGCTGAGGATTTAGCTCAGCGGCAAAGCGCCTGCCTGGCAAGCGCAAGGTCGTGAGTTCGGTTCCTGGTACCAGAGAAAAACCAAAACCAAAAAAAAAAAAAAAAACAGAAAGCAGAGGGGCTGGGGATTTAGCTCAGCGGCAAAGCGCCTGCCTGGCAAGCGCAAGATCGTGAGTTCGGTTCCCAGTACCGGAGAAAAACCAAAAAAAAACCAAACAAACAAAAAAAAAGAAAGCAGAGGTCAAGATCTTAATACCATACAAAGTGGATTTTGGGCCAAAAAGGTCAGTGTTGAATGAAACCAAGAATGCGTTATAATTGAAACAAAGGTACAACAGTTATCAATACTAATACATCAAGTAAGAGCTAAAAAGGAAAAGAGACAAACACATGTACAGGTTTTAATCAGCCCCTATCAGTCCACTAAGTGAACCCTAAACCAAACACAGACACAGAAAGCAGAATAATATAATAAATATGGTGTATTTGTTTGGTAGATGTTTATCTCAATATTCTGAAAAGAGAAATGTCTCTTCTTTTTTAAGTGCTGTGACACGTTCATAAAATGAACTATATACTTGGGCATACATGTACAAATACACATACCAGTAGCAAATGAGAGAAAAAGTGGTATATCCGCATTGTGTAAGATGAATGCAACCCACTAAATGAACATCAAAACTTGGAAACAAAAAGGCTGAAAAGAAAATACAAACTGAAACTACAAAGTTACTATATATCAGAACTAGCCAAAGATATCAAGAGAAATGCTCAGTGGAAAATTCAAGGTCTTAAATACTTACATAAGTAAAAGTAATGGAATTAAAAATGTGGATCAAAAAGTTAGATAAAATACAACACATGAATGTAATATTTAACAAAAAAGTTAAATGAAAAGATATTTTAAAGGCTGTGACATGTAATCATAAAATCTTACTATAGTTAAACTTAATTTTATTACTTTTTACTTGGTGATAATTAATTGTAAGATATTCGTAAAATGAGTAATATCAAGACAATGCAAGATTAGACTCAAAACATACAGGAAAAACTCCAAGAAAATATAACAGCCATGTGTCACACTGTTTTCCCTGAGGAACTGAGAGATTTCCAGGGTCTCATGTACTCACGTTGCCGATCTCGAAGTTCTGCCGCATGAGCAGGTACAGGGAGGCGCTGGCGTGGGAGCGGATGGTGCTGATGCTGCTGCTGCAGTGTCGGAGCAGCCGGAGGCACAGGTCGGCACACTGCTCGGTCTCCTCTTCAAACAGGAGTTCTGGGAACTGGAAGGACAGCACAGGTTACACAGCGACAGTTCCCGGGACATAGAAGAGAGCCCAGGATTGCAGAGAACTGGGGGACGATACGAGGTGAGAGTAACCAGTGCGTGTGACAGACAGCCTGGTCCACACACCAGCAGCACCACTCCCGTCAGCAGTGTGACCAAGCCAGAGCTTCTCATCCTCAGGTAGGACAGAGCTTTCATCAGACCACTGTGAAAACAGTACAGTAGCCAACACAGGAGAATTCTTTACTTTTATTATTACCAAACAGCCCAGAAATATTTTCACTGGGTAAATTTCATTAAGGTCACTGTATTCCATCTCCTAAAATGATGAGGATGAAATGGCTACCTTTAATACACCTACCATATTTCCAGGAGAAAATAAACAATGGAAATACATACTTGAAGCAGTAGAACAAAAAGAAGTATCTTCCATTCACCATAGGATAAACTGGTTTCCCTGGACTGAACTACCCATGTGTATATTGACAACTGATGGTAAAGTTGAACACCCAGTTAAACTGAATCAGCATGGTTCCGGGTGCAGAAGGCCCACCTGAGGATTGTTGCCAGCAATGCAAAAAGGAGAACTGGAAAGTAAAAGATGGTGCTGTTGGTTCTCCTGGAGAAGCTCATCATGCTGGCTTTCCTGATACGAACTCAGCTGTTATCATCGGAAGAGCTTGGGACCTCACTATTGCTGAGGACTGCTGAGGTTCTTTTCAGGGGAGCTCTGGTCCTTACTTTGAGTGTCACTTCCTGGCTCCAGTGCAGATCCCTCAGTCTGCTGGCCCAGATCCTTCATCCTGCTGGTGCAGACTTTCTAGTTTCCACCACTGACCTTTGGGCTTTCCCAGTGCAGACCCAACAAACAGAACTGCCTAAGACATTGTCCTGGGCTTTAGGCCTCTAGTTGGACTTGTGGGGGGCACTGCCATGGTTTCTATGTCTTTAGCTGGACTCATGCAGGACACTGCCGGGGTATCCAGACCCTCAGCTGGATTCTTTGGGTCTCTAGTGTGTGGACAGATCTGCACTCTTTTGTATTTGACTGTTTGGGTGACTACGATAAAATAACCCTATAAACTATGTGTCCTGTATTAAATTGTTTCCCTTGCAAACTCTGACTACAATAAAATATATATTAAATTCTTGATAAATTGAGTTTAACAGTAACAGAACAAGGTTAAGAGAAATTTTTCTAAAAAAGTAAGTTTGATATACAGAAAGGCCCATATTTTTTAGACCAGATACTAGCTAATGGTGGTCCAAATAAGTGAGAAACTCCTAAAGACAGGCAGTAGCAGACAGCCCACATGGAATCAAGTCTCAGGTAATCACTTGCACTTTTAACCACACACGTTAAATGAGGAATGTATCTGCTATGGCTTGCATCTAGATGTCCTCTCGCAGCCTCATGCAGTCACACATGGGGCTTTTTCAGAGGTGGCTGAATCTAAAATGTGTGACTGATTCTTGGTGCAATGCTAGGATTAAGGTAGGTGACAACTAAATCAGTCCACTGATTGGTTTGGCACCGCTCTAACCCAGCAGCTGGGATACAATATAAGGGACAGAAAGAGGCTCATCTTGTCCCTTGCTTTACTACCTTCTGCCTGCCCAGAACTGTTCTCCTCTGTGATCCCTGTCTGCCATCCACTTTACCTGGGAGCCAGCCAATTATGGACTGAAACTTCCGCAAACTGTGAGCTAAATAAACCTTTTCCCCTTTACCTTTGGGTGGAGAGTATTTTCTCTCAGCGGAGAGAAGGGTAACTAAAACTGTGCAGCGATCCTGGCCGGCGCTGACAAGCCAGTGGAGCCAGCTGGGGTGCAGCGGCAGAGACCCACCTTGGAAACCAGGGCCCTCTGTGTGGCGAAGCAGTGCTGCAGGTAGAGGGCGCTCTGGTTGCAGGCCATGCTGTGCAACAGCACCTTCAGCACTCCACCAAGGATGCTCTCTTTGGATTCTGTCACGGAAACCGTCTGCAATTTAAAAACACACAAGTATCCTGGAAATGGACCTGCAACCTGGTTAGGGAGGTAAAATATGTATAAAAAACACATTTTTTTACAGATAAAAAGTAATCTGAGCTAGGAGGACTCAAGAAGGAGCCAAGCAGGAGTTGGATAAAAGGGGAAAGAGTGGATAGAATTTAAGTTTTTAAAAAGGAGGCGCACAGATACCGTAGCAGGGATGCATAAAGTATGCTCTAGGGCAGCGGTGGTGAACCTATGGCATGCGTGTCACAACAGGCTGAAAGCTCTAAAAGGCTTAGCACCGAGCACGGGGATCTGTAAATGCGCCCAGCCCGACTGCTCGTGCTGTGGCAGGGAAGCCGGCCCTGAACCCACACCTGCCCTCCTCTTCCTTCCTGGACAGAAATCCTGACAGTGGCTTCAGCCCCAGTGACAGCTGTGTGAGCAGAAGGTTCAACCCTCTGAGGCACACCCTTAGACATGTGCACACACACACACACACACACACACACACAAGCACTGTGCAGATGTACCTTCTTCCTGAGGGTGAAATGCACATGGGACTCCTGATGCTCAAACAAGCAGTGTAAACTAGGTATCTTGGATTTACTCCGGGCGTCCGGGGCCTTCACTACACTTCCAACCCTTTTTAAATTTTTAATTCTTGAGGCAGAGTTTCACTAAATCACTAAGTGCCCAGGTTAGGCTTGAACTTGTGATCCTCCTGCCCCAGCTTTCCAGAGTGCTGGAATTACATGTGTGTGACAGCATCCCCAGCTTTACGACTGGTTTTTATAATAAGGTGGTTTCTAAGTCCTACCTTTGTGCTTAACTAATCAAGAAAGCCTGAATTTTAAAAACTGTCACCAGGAAACTGAGGAATGATCTCATGAGAATGCAGAGAACAGCAGAGAGGGACGAATGCAGGGAGACGGACAGGAGGCCCGCGGCACCGTGGTGCTCCGCGCCAGGGCCCAGCAGCGCTGCGAGTGAGAGGGGATGCGGCGGAACCTGAGCCCACGACTAAGACCACAGACAGGTCTTGATGACGGACTGGAACCCTGCTCTGCCTACTGCCTCGCTGCGCGATCACAGGCAGTTCATATCCCTCTGGCTGGCTACTCTCATCTATAAGGCAGGGACAGTGGTAAGTTTAGTAACATGAATCTTTTGTCGGGGTCAATGAGTTAATATTTGTAAAACGCTTAAGACGGTGTCTGACAGCAACAAAAACTAAATAAATGTCAGGATTCTTATTTTTTTGCTACGCAGTCTTGCTGCATAGCCCAGGCTGGCCTCAAACTTACAGAGATCCTGCTATCTCAGGCTCCTGAGTAGGAGGACTGCAGGCATGTACCACCCCAACCAGCACAGTTATCATTATTAACAGGCTGATATTACCTAGAGGGCTACTAATAGAACCAAATAAGATGAACACAGTGGTAGATACCTATCAGCTTGGGAGGCTGAGGCAAAAGGATCACGAGTTCAAGGCCAGCTTGGGCAACTTAGCAAGGTCATGTGTAAATAATTAAATAAATAGGCCAGGGATATAGCTCAGTATGAAAGCAATCAGTTCAATCCCCAATACTAACAAAAACCAAATAAGCCTAACATACTGCTGCAATATAAAGATGTGGAATAAGCCCAGCATATCTCTGAGGCACCTGTGGCTCTACATGCACGAGGAAGTGGTGTGGCAGGACAGACAGCTACATAAACAGTGGCCATGTGGCAGTGCAAGACTGCCCTCAAAGGAAAGAGGTGAAGAGAAGAACAGTTGAAGCTGTGGGTAAAGACAGAATCTATAATTAAAGGAACACAGACTGCTTGAAGTGGAACTAAACTTTCAGGAGCTACTGACACTTACTAGCAATTATATGGCTCAATAAATACCTTCCTCTCAACCCCCGTTTACCACACCGTACTTAAAATTCCTCTTCTCTGTGGTCTTACCTGGACAACAATCTCTAATGTGTCTAAAATGATCAGGTTTGCTTCAGTAGCCAGATTTCCATCAATTAATGCTTCATGTTCAATCTCTGCTCTTGACCTAACATGAAACAGATTAAGAAATGATGTTTCTCTTTTTCAGGTTTTACCTTTATTGCAACACGTTCGCAGCACAGAATGATGACATTCTGGATGGGGGATGGTGGCTGGACATGGCACATCTCAACTCTTCCCTTGTGTCCTCCCTGCCTGCCATATAATTATCTTTTTAAAAGCCGTAATTTAAAAAAGACTTCAAGATGTGCACAAAAATGAAAACCTTGAAATCACTCCCAACGTTTGCCTGAACGAAAAAGATCAGTGTAAGCAGCTCAGGCAGTACTGCTCGTTCCGACAGCACTGTCTGGTCTCACTCAGGGTGCGCAGCGCGAGATGCACTCCAGTGCTGGTGTGGCAGCTGAGCTTGGGACATACCGTTTTCTCCTGGATGGCACCAACACTAGGTGACACTATGCATCCTATACCTATGTTTGGGATTCATCTCAGCATTCCAAAGATTTTCAGTGTATTTATTTGGGATAAAATTTTTCATCCAGTTTCCTTTGATTTCTTTTTTAAATTTTTGGTGGTAATGGGAAATGAACCCAGGGCCTTTGCACTGACCTGTAACTACAGTCCTTTGAGACACGGTTAAGTGGTTATGTTGCCCAGTTTGTGTCTGACCTCCCAACCCTCCTGTCCCAGCTTCCCAGGGTGAGTCTGAGGCCAGCCAGCCTACATGAGTCGGTCACCTTGTTCTCATAGGTTCTGGAACAGACAAGCTCCTAAGGGCTAACTTGTAAAGCAAAGATGTTCAGCTCTCAGGTCAATGTGAGGTTCAGGCCAGGCGCATGTGCCATGGGCACCGTGGTGGAGAGGAGGGCAGGCTCGTGAAGAGCGATGCCATCACTGCCCATCGGCTTGAATCGTGGTTTGTCTTTCTTCGATTTTATTCCAGGCTCCAGGCAGGCAAACATTAGTTTTCTAATTTTTGTAATACTTGAAATATTTAGCTCAGTGTGAGACTTAAAATATACTTAGAAAACAGCAGCTGAATTGTTTTCCAAGGGGATTTGTTGGGGGAATTAGGTTTTAAAATATATGACATTTGACTTTACTATGCCACATGGCAAGTTTTCTTCCAAATATTTTAACCTAACATTAAAACAAATGTAAGATTTTATCTTTGTTCCTTTTGTTCTGGCAGTGCTGGGGCAAGAACTCAGGACCTGTGTGCACGCAAGGCAAGCGTTCTCCCTGAGTCACAGCCCAGCCTCAACGTTCTGTCTCCTAAGATTTGAACGTCTGACAAATGTAAGATAAAACTAAAGGTTTCCTGTTGCGTTTTGAAGTCAAACAAGCCCATAGGAAGCATAAAATCGATTCCATTACTTGTCAAGCTTCTCTGTGTTCTGACGCCAGTGAGTCATGTCCTTTCTCCATCTCAGGTTTTCTTGACTTCCAAAAGCACTGCCTGATGGGCTCCTCTCTGCCAAGCAAATTTCAAAGCCTATTTTAAAACATTTCAGTTTGACCACAGGTATGTGTATTTGCAAACATACATGTCATTAATTTTACAGTCATTTTACCCTCTGCACAAGTGGGGGAACCTGACAACATTATTTTTTATTTATATTTTCACAATCATTACACAAAGAATTTATTTACTACATGGAACATTTCTTGAAAACAAAACAAAGCACACACTTTTAAATAAGCAAAGGCTGTAACTCAGACTTTCTAGGCCTTGCATGCTCGGCCTTCGCGACGCTGCTCTGCTCTCTGTGCTTTGCGTCCCCCACCTTGTGCTGACTTCTGGCCTGCACAACACTCTTCCTGGTACCCGGCCGCTCTCCCGTGAACTTCCACTGGGCACTCCGTCTTCCCTACAATGTCTCCCTAGCGCTGCCTTCCCCACAGCATTAATGTGCTTGCTTCCTTTCCACAGCACTCAGGATAACAAGAATACAAGCTACTTCAGAACAGAAATGATCTGTTTTGTCCAGCACTTTATGCCCAGCCCAATAAACTTTCTGCCACATACTGAGTGCTTAACGAACTTTTGTCCACTAAGTAAACAAAATAGAAAATATTCTTAAACAAATGACTGCCTTTGTCTACATAAGAAAGTAAAAGAGGAAGAAAAAGGATTTCTTTTGAGAAATTTCTAGGACTGGGGGTGAACAGAATGGTACGAGCTTTTTTAAGGAAGCCATTGATGAACTGTGGAGGAACACACAAATGCGCACTTCACCAAGGGAGCCAGTCAGAGCTCAGGCTCTCCACCAGGGAACTACTGCTCCTTATTGGAAAAAGGAAGATGATTTCAAAATGGTTGGGAAGATGAATGAATAATGGAAGCAAAATTTCAGCATCCAAATGGAAATAAAAATACCGAGTAACATAATCACTTGTTACACAAATACAGGTCATGTCAGTGTATTCCTTCTATTTTCTTTCTCTTCTCGTTCTTTCTTTTTTATTTTGAATTTTTCTGAAAAATTTTATGAAAGAAAATAAAACCCCATTCTTCCATTAAGATACTTAACAAAATAAATGTTATAATCCATTTTTCTGTCATTTCTTTTTCCACTGGAACATTCTCTCTCATTTTCTGAGTTAAAAATGCCTTGTGTCCAAATGTCTGTAAGAAGCACAAAGGCTTGATTTTTCTAAGACAAAAAGAATTTCAAATTTTACATTCAAACCCGGGTAGCTGCCCTAACGCCCGTAGGTGTAAAGGTAACGTATCTAATGCGGCCTATGCTACACAGTCAGCAGCTGTGTCCTGGGAATGTAAGCCCCAGAGCACTGTGGTGTGAGAAGGGCCCTGAACCAGACGCCCAAAGACTCTGGTCCTTGCGGTCAGTCTGGGACCTCGGGCCAGTTACTTACTTCTACTTTCTTAACCTAAAAGACAAACACAATTACTAAGTTCTGACAAAAATGAAATGGCCTAAGTACAAGTTAATTTTCAGTTTCTTTTAAAGGGTTATACATAATTTGCCAGCTTGGCAACTTCATGAGACTCTGTCTCAAAAAAACCAAAAAACCAGGCCAGACAGGGGGCCGGAGAGGGGCTCCCCCAGCAGCCCACACACGAGGCACAAGTCAATGTGTGTGTGGATAAACACTTTTTAATTATAGTTTTCTGACAGGTCATTAGCACAGCGATCCTTTATTTACTTTCTACAGGCTGGGTATATTTGGAATTAATAAAGAAACAAACAACTGCCCTTGCCTATGAAGGGATTATTAACTCCATCTTTTCACTTTAGTTATACAGTTTACAATGCACCTATGAGTTTTCTTTTAACCTATAAATTTGGTATAATCCTTTTAAAAGGTATGAATGCTGAAGCCAGGCGCAATGTACAAATATCAGTTGGAGCCCCTATTTTCATTCCTTTCGGACACATACTCAGAAACAGAATTGCTAGGTCATATAGTATTTTTATTTTGGGGTGGGGGTGTTGGGAATGGAATCCTGGGTCTCATGAAGGCTAGGCACATGTTAGGCACACTGTACTACTGAGCTACACCTCCAGCTGCATGTATGCATCCACTGATTGATGGGTTGACAGAACCTTGCTAAACTGCCCAGGGTGACCTTGAATGTGATTATTCTCCTGCCTCAGTCTCCAGAGTAGATGAGATTATAGGGCTGCACATAACTTAAATGTTCATACACACAGATGACTGAGCCATGCCCCTGACATTAAGGAACTCTAAGTAATAATATTTGTGTATCCCTTTAGAATTTACACGTTTTCACATACAAGGAGTGATCAAAATATACAATAAATCCCTAAATTTAAAAAATTTATCACAGCAAAAGACACATTGTCATTAATCCCCCTCCAAATCTTCACCCTCAGTTCTAACGCTTATCCCTTCATCACTGCCACTTTCCAAAGCGGTTCTGGAAATCCTCTTTCCTGAGTCTTTACCAGTGTGATAAAAAAATATGGTTAATGCTGCTGCCAGGTGCCATGCCAAGGAAAGGCAGTTCATGAAAACACGACGGTGTCCTCATCCACTTTATTCACCGGACCTGCATCATGTGACTGCTGATTCCTTCCCACAGTCAAAATGACAAGGAAAGGCCAATGTGCTGACTCAGTTCAGGACATCAGGGCAGCCACACAGCACAACTAAACACGCTCAGGAAAAAGACCTCCACACCTGCTTTAGCAAGTGGCAAGAGCAACAGGATAAGCAGTTTGAAGCCGGGGGAGAAGCTGGAGGGGGACGCACGGCAGACTATCTTTTATGGTGATACTTTTCAAAAACTTAAACATGCGCTGCTTTTTGATCATGCTGTATGCATGACCATTACAAAGATGATGAGATCAGTTAATTGCACTATCTTCTGAATCCTCTAAACAATCACAAGCAGACAAGGAAGTAGAAGGTGGGGAGAATAAGGACTTATGTGGCCAGTGGGCAGCAGATCCAGGATTGGCAGCAGGCCTCAGATGCTACTGCGCCCGGCCTTCTCCCTCACACTGAGCTCACAGGCAGCGTGCCTGTCTGATTCACTGTGCAGACCGGAACCTTGTCAAGAGTGGAAAGAGATTCCACGCAGATGAACCATAATGGAGCCTATGAACAGTGGTGGCAGGTCAGTGCCAAGTCACAGCTGCCACAAACGTGCCACCTGGGGGGGGGGTGCTGACGATGGGGTTGCTACACATATGTCTGGATAGGGACATCTGGGAAATCTCTGTACCTTATGCTCAATTTTTCTGTGAACCTGAAACTGTTCCCCAAAAATGTCTATTTTAAAAAAGGAGTGGGAGGCGAGGATATTAAAATCACAGGCAACAGGCAGGCCCCATAAAGCAAGGCTACTGGGAAGTGAGTCCACCCCATGTACGTCAGAACCACAACTCGCATGCCATTTCAAAGTGAAACAGAGTTGTCCTGGGAGGTTTGCAACAGTGACGCTTGTAATGTACAACTCAAGGAACAAAAGTCATCTTCAGCAGAGGGGCGGGCGCTGTGTACATACCGAGCTGGCCTCGGCTTCGACGCACCATCTCCTGCCTGGCACCTATACTCCCAAGAATGGCTTCTTCTAGTTTTGCTCTCATGTCTTTTGACTTCTTAAAGGTCAAACTGTTCATTCTTTCAAACACTTTTTTCCCCTAAAATTGAAACATTACAAGAGGCATTGAGAACATTTTCTTGTTCTCTTTCCATAGTATTTCCTCTGCAATGGTATCATGGGCACTTACCTTGTACTCAAAGCAAGACACACAGAGATAGAGAAGATCTAACAGCCGATTTAGCTGCAAGACTGAGAGATCTGTGAACCATTTTTGTAGAACCGTCTCATCTGCATTCTTGAGGACCCAGAGAAGACAGATCAAAAGGCTCCGGCTTGATTCTGCTGAAAAGGTGGTATGTTGTCTGCCACTCTGGAAACAGAGAGCAGTACAATGACACTGAGCATGGGATCAACTGACCATTTTTTGTTTCGGTTGTCAAGTGTTTCCATCTAAAGACAATAAAATGAAAATCAGATGTTTTAAAAGAACCATTTGCTTTAGATAACTCTTGTATCAAAGAGCCATACAAAATCTTACAGTTAAGGCTTGAAGTTTAATGCAATTTTCCTGGCAGGAAAGTTTGTTTTAATGTATGGCAAGACTGCCAGTGGAGACCAAATGAATAAATGCTCATACAAACATATTAAATACTGAAGAGAACGAACATGGATATCAGTCGAAAAGAGAAACTAAGTAAGAGTGGTACGAAAACAAAACAGGAACAAAGCATTCATCAGGCTTAGTGCTCCGGTGCTCCCTGTGACAGAGCACAGACACAAAGGGGAAAGCCGGGGGTCACGGAGCTGCTACTTTCGCTCTTCAGTCTGCATTAGGATTGAAATTAAATGAAGACCTAAAAATAGGAATTTGTGTACAGAATCATCAACGCAACACGTAACTCTGCTCTGGGCATCCTAAAAGCACTTTACATACATTACTTAACTTAGTCCTCTAAGCGTTGCCAAGCAGTTTGTATCACCCCAGTTTTACAGAAATTATACGGAATGGCAGTAACAATAATGATGATGATAAAAAGTAACAGAACTGTGCTAGACACGAATTACTTTTTCTTATTTAACTGTCACAACAATCTTAGGAAATTATGTCAACTATTATTATTTCTGGTTTAGTGGCAAGGAAACTGAAGGTTAGCGATACACTTGATCTTAGCCAAAAGACCAAGAAGCATTCAAGGCTAGTGATAAAGTAGCATGACCTAATAACACACTAAGAGCTGGCGGAGTCTTAGTCCAAAGTCTGTGCTCCTCAGGCATTTCTAAATGAGAAGGAGAAAGCAGTGGAGGAGACACTGACAGGAAGGACACGAGAAAACTGAACACACCCAGAGCTGAGGCTGATCTTCCCCTCATCCTGGATACAGTAACAGAAAGGGCTGGCGCTTACGTGAGGACTGTCCGGGGTGAGGTGGTGCTCTAAACACTTTCTGCACATTAATTTATTCATCCCACCCTACTGCAAGTAAACTGGGCCATCGGAAGTGGTTTGTAGTAAGTGGTGGGACTGGGATTCAAGTGCAAAATGTGGCTCTAAAGACAAGATTTTCAGCACTCTGCTTACTGTGCCTTGTGTGTCCACGCACACAGACGTGAACGCTTAACTGCTGCAATACGACACCTCTGACCTGGACACAGGTGACTCCGACCCTTACTCCTAAATCTAGTCTTTCTCGTAAGAGAAATGTTCTTTTGTTTTAAAGACAAGGGCTTTTTATAGCTAAAAGGGACTCACAGCTAAAAGGGACTTTTAGTATCAGGTATGCATAAATACACTGAATTTTCAAGTACCTATCACTTGGAAATATAATAGAAAAATTATTCTGAAACTGACAAACAGGCATACATACAGGTTTCTCATACTCCACAGGAAGTGCCAAAACCACAGTGATACATTTGAAAGGAAGTCAGGCAAACAGGAAAAAACTCCATCGTGAAAGGATGTCAGCTTTCCTCCAAACCACAGTGATACATTTGAAAGGAAGTCAGGCAAACAGGAAAAAAAACTCCATCGTGAAAGGAAGTCAGCTTTCCTCCAAAATGCTGCACACAGAAAGCGACCCAGAGTTCAAACTCCAGAGCAGCCTTTCTTATCCAGGGCTGCATGGGAGCATGAAGCCCTATTGGGACCGAGTCAGAGGACTGCTTCTCGTTCTCCCACGGAGGGCGCATGCACGTCTCTGCAGGTGGCTTTATCACCCACAATAACTGGAACAGTGGTTAATGCTGATTTTTCTGTGGGAAACAATTCCTTCACAAAACTAACCAGAAGAGAAGAGGAAGCGGCAGAGGTCTCTGTCTCCCAGGCTGGTCGCACAGCTCTCCCCCTGCGCTGTGACTTCCGCAGCTCAGGAGGCGCATGGGCCTGAGCGCCAGCAAGGTGCACCTCCCTGTGTTCTCTCTCCTGTCTGACAGACCTCCCCTTCAGAAACCTTCTCTTTTCTCACCTCACCTCTCACTCCTGCTCCATCTCTTGAAATTTTTCCACTAGGACCTCCGGAGCACATGCTCAATCATCAAAAACAAACAAAACAAAGACACCAAAAACCTGGTACACACTAAGCACCTTCTCCGAACATGCCCTCGACCGTGTTCTGGCTGGTAACCCGCTTCAGGCCTGGAGGGAAAAAGGAGGAAGCACTAGGCTCCTCAGCACACTGCCCTGTGGAAGGCACGAGCTGCTCCTTAGGCCACACCTGTCCCAGACAACCAGCCTGTCCCTTTTGAGGCTTTCAGCTAATGCGCTTTCAGTAATCTCAAGACTACTTTTTGTCAAAGCCTTTAGTGATTTCAGTGCTCATGGCTGATTCTCTAAATAGCCTGGCTCTCTTCAGTTCCTCCCAACTATTAAAAATACCAACTATTGCACACACTGACCCTGGGTTTAATTCCTGACTAGAACAAAAGGAAAACAAAGAAAAAGAAACTATACACAGATGGCAAAATTGTACGAAACGCGAGGAGGGACTGCTGTCTGGGCAATGCTGACAGGTAACGCAAGCAAACCTGAGTTTTTACTTTAAACAGAGGAAACAAAACTTAGAAAACTGAAAAACAAACTAGAGAACTGTCAATTAAAGAACTCAATGTTTCGGATTAATGTAGTATCAGGTACAGCTAGCAAAAAAATTACATCAAAGAAGACAGATCAAAAGACACAATCTACCTGAAGCACTCATTAACAAAAAGATGGATTATCCGGCCAGGTGTGATGACACATGCCTGTAATCCCAGCTACTCAGAAGGCTGAGGCAGGACAATTGCAAGTTCAAGCCTAGCCTGGTAAACTCAGCAACAGTTTGTCTCAAAATAAAAAATAAAAAGAATTTTAAGGGCATTGCTCAGTGGTAGCACACACATGGCTGCGGTCCTCAGGACTGCTAAAAGAAGAGAAAGGATGGATTTGCTTAAGGAGAGGTGGAGGATGTAACAGAAAGGACTGACACATGTTTAGCTGGAATACAAAAAGAGAAAACACAGAAGGGGGAAAAGGCTATTTTGGGGCAGATAACAGTTGAAAATTTTATAGTACTGATGTAAAATACAGCACAGAATAAACCTAACACTAGACTAATGAGTGCAACCACAAAAAACCAACCCTAAGGTAGTGAAGCAAACAAAAAAAGATTGTTTTCAAAGAAACCAAGATCAGATCACAGTGACTTACCAAAAAGTTGCAACAGAAATGAAAAACAGTGGGAGTATGTCCTCAGCCTGAAAAACAACCCAGGAAACTCTCTCTAAAAGTGTTTGCAAGAATGAAAGCCAAATACAAGCATTTTTTTAATAAGCACTCAGAGGGTTCCCCACCAGTAAACCGTGGTACAGAAAACTCTAAAGGACATGTTTCACCAGAAGAACAATGAGCAACAGCTGGGAACACAGAGGCAAATTTAAATGGTAAACGGTTCCACACAGACAGTAAAAACTTAACAACAGCAACAATTCCTTGAGAGGTTTAACAATATATACAAGTAAAAATGCCTGAAGTTTAAATTGGGAGAGGTATAGGCACCTTGTTACAAAAATCTTACCATTAATCAGTATGAAAGTAAAGACGTGATTAGTATTAGATCTGATAATTTAAAGAAGTATAATGTGATTTCTAATATAAAAAGAGAAACAAATGGTACAACTTTCAAACTAGTAGGGAAGAATAAGCAAAACGAAGAAGGAATAGAATGAAGAAAAAGATAGAAGAAAAAAATAGAATGAATCCACAAGATAATAAATATGATAAAAGAAGGGGCTGGGGATTTAGCTCAGCAGCAAAAAGCGCCTGCCTGGCAAGCGCAAGGTCGTGAGTTCGGTTCCCGGTACCGGAGAAAAACAAAAACAAAACAAAACAAAAAAAATGATAAAAGAAACACATAAAATGAGACAATACAAAGTTAAATATAAAATATTAAGTATGCTGAATTTAATTATACTAAATATGAGTCTATTAAAAACTCTAGTAAAGGAAAAAACACCACCAGGCCAGATTTTAAAATGGAAGACAAAATGTAACTACATATAAGAGACACATCTAAAACATAAGGATATATTAAAAGTGAAAAGATGAATGAAGTCATATAACACTAGGAAAAAGAAACCTATAAGAACTACACTAATTTTAAAAATAGCACTACAGTTCATGTTGATGAGTAGTGGAATCCACCAAAAATATTTAACAATTTAAATTGTTCCGTACTTAAAGAACACAAACACTGATACACCTGGAGAAATGGCAAAACTCAAGTACAGTAAGAATTACCAAAACTTAGAGAAGGCCAAGATGATTTAAACAACAAGAAAGGACATATATAGGACAGTATAACTAAACATACAAATATCCATCCATATTGATAACTGAGATTATTTACACAGAACAGACGTAAAACCAGTTGCCAAGAATATAACAAAGTAAAATCAGAGTTAAGTTCTCTGATCATGCAATTATGCTAAAATCAGACTCAAATCAGAAATTTTTGTAACTACAAATTAAGAAAAACTTCTTCAATACCCAAAAAGTCTAACATGAAATCATAATGCAATTTAAAGGTATTTTGAGGTAAATAATGAAAATGCTATGTACAAACTGTGGCATTTAACTAAAACAATAATTAAAGAAAAACTGAAAGACTTAAAATACACATCAAACTATGGTATTCAACTAAATAATTAAGGCAAAATGTACGGGCTTAAAATAATTATCAAAGAAAGGATGAAAACTAAATGAGTTAAACATCAATTTCAAGAAATGAGAAAAAAACCTCACAATGTAAACCCCCAAAAAGGGAACACAATAAATAATAAAACATTTTAAAAGTGAGGATCAAATTGGTATTTCATAAAGATTAAAGACATATTTCT